GTGTTCCAGAACGTACTTGTGTAGTGACAATGTGATACAGTGTTTTGTGTGTGTTTACATTTTGCGTAATTATTGTATGATTATCAGTTGTATGTGACATGTACTAAATATATACATGTACATGGAGATTATTGTGTCAAAGCATATATATACAAAATGTAGTTTCACATTCAGGAAATCTATTAATGTGTATTATGTACTATGGAATGTACAATACTTTGTCTGTGAAGTGTGATCAAAGTTACTGAGTGACTTTGTGAAGTATGGATAAGCCAATAAATGGCCATACAATAGTGTAGAAAATTCATGGATTATTTTGAAGAAACCTTCTTGGAAGATACTTTTTTAACAGATTGTAAACTTTTAATGGCATTTGTATAATGTTATTACAGATAGCAGTACAGAGACGGAAAGCCAACATGTGACATTGTATGGCCCGAGACTTCTTGGAGTCTTTGTTTTATGACCAGATGGAACAGGCTGTCTCAGGGCGAGGCCAGCAGGCCCAAGGGGTGCCCAACCCAGGGTATGGGAATATGAATGGGGGAGGTGGATGGGGCTGGGGCAAAGTCTTCTCCAGCTTCATGGAGGCTATTGGTGGATCCAAGCGGAAAAGCATAGAAGTTCCGGAGGCGGTGGATATAAGTTCTACAGGGGTGGAATTTGGAGACCACATTGAGATGGCCCACTTTGGACATGTGGAGCTGTTGATTAAGGGCCATGATTTTGTGCTCCAGCAGTTGTCTAACCCTACATGGTGTGATGAGTGTGGGGACTTTATCTGGGGACTCTACAAGCACTGTCTACGGTGTAAATGTAAGTACCCATGTACCAGAAATCAAGCTGTTGTCTGTGTTTTGCATGTAGCAGGTTTTTATTTTCATCCATTTCCTGGTTTTTTAAATTACCATATATTTTTATGTAGTAGTTTTCTCATGAAATAGCCATTTTTTTTAATGTTTAGGTACGCGTTTAACACAAAATTGCATGAACATTACAATATGTACATCAGATCCAAGTTATTGATAGCATAAAAATGTTTTCAAAGGTCTTTGGATCAAGTTTATAGTTTGAAATCCTTGTAATTTGTGAGGGCTATAAGTAAACCAGTGTCTATGGCCACTTTATATGATATTGAAATACTGATAGTTCCTTGGACTTGCCTTAGTTAAAACAGAGGCTATCATATGTTAACATCAGCCAATCTGTACAACTGTTTATACAGAGACAGTATACAGCTGAAGTACCTTCTTAGAGGCAAAGTACACTGCAAATAACAAAATAGCGACTTTTCAACATTAAAAGCATGATTCTGTATTATCTAAGAAAAAATTAAATGTTCATTTTACATTCAACATTGGATGATTTACTTTATTTAGAATCAAACTTGTTTTATAAATGTCTCATATGTGTCAGTATTGTAGACAGTTTTTTTTTGGGGGGGGGGGTTACTTGAATGCAACAGGGAGAATGTCCTTAATATCAATATCCAATTTCAGACTGGTGTTATTCATACATGACAATATTTGTCAAGTTATCCCCTTTTAACAGTTTTTCATTTATATCATACTGTCCAAGTCTCAAGTTTTTTCCATCATTATTTTCAGACTTCTACTACATTAAACTGACTGCGAGGTACTTTGTAAAGCACAATAAAGAAAGATAACTCTGCTAGTCATAAAATTTTAACACCATATATACAAGTTACACCTCCACGTAGTGTTGTTTTACATATTAAGTTATTGTATATAATTTTTATTAAACAGATTACTGTATCCATACAAATGCAAGAAAATTATTAATCTTTGCACTTTTTTCACAAGTTTATTCATAGTATATAGTATTTTAAAAAGGAAACAAGTATTTATCTATATATACAAGAGATAATTGAATGACTTATCATGTGTACTAAGATTTAAACAGTTACAATGTAATTCTCTCATTGTGTTGCATTAAAAAAATGTACAGCTTTTTGTGTGTACCAATAATGATTATTTAACAAATAATGGACAATTAAAATGAGTGATGATCTGCTAAATGTAGAGAATTTTAAATTTGATACATTATAAATTTATAATAATATAGATCTATGTATATTGAAATTTAAAAAGAAAGTTTCAGTTCACTTTATTCTCTGGAAACCATGTAAATGTTACATGAGGTACAAAAAGCCATAATAATACATATAAAACAATGGGTCAAGCGAGAAATGTGAGAAGGGATTCAAAATCGAAATGTTCTAGTAGGTATAGAGATATTAAAAGGGCTCTGAATTTAAATGACATATGTGTTTTTATTAAATTAAAGTGAAGAAATTTTCACACAATGTATCACAGATTTTGGAGTTACTTTTCTGCTCAGTTATTTATTAAAGAAAGATATTCATGGTCACAGCACACAATACTCAATATTTACATGCTTAGTCTATTAGCCATTCTGTAGTGTCATTATTGGTTCAAATACAGTTGAACTTTGGTTTCTCAAACATTGATATCTCTAATACCATGGATATGTTGAAGTCATATGAAGTCCCAATCACTCTTTCTCTTTGTGTATTTTATCATCGTTGTCTTGAACCCTTGGATATCTCAAAGTTTTTCCTTGCAGGTCCCATTGAGTTCGAGATAATGAGTTTTGACTGTATTTTTTTTTTGACCAGGTGTATAGAAAACATGTATGAAAATCTGGATGTTTGCTATTGAAATATTTTGTTTATTGTATAGGATGTGAAATTGGTAAACACACCATGACCACATGTCATCATCAGCACTGATAAAAACGTGTCTCGCTCCCTCAGAGGGGTAGAGTAATGGACAGATGACCCCCAGGGGAAATAGTATCACAAAGAGTAACAATCAATTAGTACTAGCAGATTGATAGTCCTGACACATAGGGCATTAATAATGAAATTTATTATTGTAGTTACTCTGTAATCTTCTTCTAATGATGATCTTAATCCTGAAATCAGAAATAATTAATCCCTGTCTTAAAAAAAAAATACTGCTTTTGGTGAAATAGTGTTGCTTCATGGTATGTAGGTATTAGTGGAGGAAATTCCACTGTCTACACACATGAATGACATGAATATAGTGGTAAGATATTTAATTCTATAGAACTGAAAATAAGTCCATAACAATAACACAATGTGAAAAGACCCCCAGTTCATTTTTTAAAAAGATTAATTCAATGCACATACACACCTTAAATTTTTCTATTTGTTCTCATTAGATCTGCATTCCTTTGCCTTGATTCTTCATTTCATTTTATTAATATGTGTAAAGTCAGGATAGAATACATTAAGTGGGGCTTAAATATATTTATGAGAGAAATTTTCAAAATTTCTGATTATTGATTGCTCATGGAAAGAGTAGATAACTCTGGCAGTTTTAAATTTCAAACAAAGGTCTTTGTGTCAAGGTGTCATCATGTCATAAAAAATTTTAAAAAGGAGTTTCACTTTCAAGGTCATCTAGTGTATAACTGAGATGTAGAAAAGCTGTCCATAGAACCACATCAAGGTTTTCTGGGTTGAACTAAATCATACGTACATAGTTTAAAAATAATACATACTCCAGCTGATATTCTCGTGGGATTTAAATAAACAGAATGACTCGCGTGTTTATGTGCTGGTAAAACTTGATCCGAGTGATTCACCTGTTCGGGACTGTGTCAGATTTCGAAGAGAAACATAAGTGTTACCTTTCTAAAGGTGTTTACCAGGGACCACTAACATTTAATAGCAGTGACATCATAAGATAACACAAGGTGCTGGTGCTATAGTTTATCTCAACAGATGGAAAAGATCAGATTTAATACTCAGTGATTGATTACGTAAAGTGTTTAAACCTGGAGGATTTTAATTAAGGAAAGAGGATATTGTTTGTGGAATTTCTCTGTGGTAAACAAGATCAAGTTAGAAATATTTTTTTTTGCTGAGTTAGAAAATTTTTCTGCTGCTGCTGAATATTCTTCATGTTCATAATTATATTCTGTGTGTAGTCTTCCTAAAGACAGATGGATATTTATAGTTAGACTGACAGCTAATCAGGTAAAATGTATCTGTAGTTAACAAGATCTCCCCATCAAAAGACTGAGACATTTCAGAGTCTGTGATCTGGAGGAACTCTGTAATCTAGTTAAACAAGGAAGTTTGGAAGGTGATCATTAGGGACCAATTCAGGAATTTCTGTGAACCGTTTTCCATTGTATTAGCTGGTACAGGAGGATAACAAAATACTTTGAAAATAATTATTAATTATTGGCTTGGATTTCCTGAAAAAGAGTTTTTTTGTTTTGTTTTGTTTTTTATGAGGATAAAATTGACAGAACTTTTTTAATTGTTCATTTTCTCCTGTACTGTGATTTGTAAACAGTTTGCAGGATACCCAATCACTGAAGGGTGCTAGGACATCTGGTGTTGGAGTGTGTGATCTAACACACTGTGCTTGTTATTGTTACAGGAAAGCTAAGGGGGATGACATAACATTACAAGGAGGGGGGATCTGTCAGACAACATTAGCATCATAGACAAGACTGGCCTGACTGTGTACTCACACGCACACAGTCATAACAGGGTCTTGCAGTTTTATAATACTAGTAGTAGCAGCTTGTGAACCTTACCTTGTACTGCTGCACATTAAAAACATATTTTTCATCCTAGACAGTTGGAGCCTGGACAAGTGTGCACTGTTGATTCAGCAAGTGAAAAAGAAAAAGATTGATGACTTTTGTAATTGGCTGTATATTGTTGAGGTGAAAGAAGGAACTCTGAATTGATTAGGGTGGTACTAGTCTGTGTATGTGTGTAACATGTTTGTAGTGCTATACTCGACCAGGCAAATCGTGATGGGTGACAGAGATTGAGGAAATTCCACCTATAAGTTGGACAGTTCCTGTTGCTGTGTTAATTTTTATTCATGCTTCAGGACATGATTCATGTATTGGAGTTTTATCTTTGAAGGAAATGTGTTAAAAAAAAATTTAAAACTTTGATTTCTAATTAACACACTGAAAGTGATTAGTTTCAAGGGAATAGGAAGTCTAAGGGCAAGAGAGCTGTAGAAATTATCTTGTCTCAATCAGGTATTTTTAGAATTGCTTCAGGATCCATTAAATTTAGCATCTCTGTTGATATGGTGGTGAGATTGTGGATCAGTAGTCAGTGATTGGTGTTACAAGCCTCCTAAGCTTTGTATCAATCTATCCCAAGAGATAAAATCCCCTCTTCTCACCAGGATAGCTCTGAAGCAAGTGTTATGATGTGCTCATTCAGCTCAACTTCAGTGGATGTCTCAGGCACTGTGAGGCATGGAAGATAGCAGAGAATTATTCATTCCATTCCGTAAGAAAACCAATAAGCTGAACCGATCCAGGCGCATTAGTGCGGCCAGGAATTTTCTGCAGTCTGAGATATTCAAACTCAATTTTCAAGATATTGCTTCATCGCCTAAGTTTAGACCTCTGAGGCATGGATTCATTGATGAAGACGATTTTGAGGATTTTAAGCAGGATTTGTTAGATTTTCGTGTGTTAAAACAAGAATTAAGAGAGGGAAGTAGTCCGGAGTGTCAGCGGAAAGCTAGACAAGCCACGGCAGAAGCACGAAGGAGTCGACTAAGTACAGACCAGTTAATGGAATTTTTCAACAGTGATGAGAATTTCCAGGAGTTTGAGAGAGTGTTTGAGACTTTTAAAAGTAAAAGGTTCTCAAATAGTGCGGATAAGCTTCGACTGTCCCTGAACAGGTTTGAGGACGATGACAGCGATAGCAGTGATGACGATGACAAAACCATTGTGTTAGATGATGAGTTATTTATAGGTGACATTGAAGATGACCCAGAGGAGGATATGTTTACAGAATTTTTTGACAATGATGCAAGTTTTCTTGAGTTTGAGAGGGAATTTCAGACATTTAAGGTAAAACGTAGATCTCGTGTGATCGATAGAATTAACAGACAGTCTGGCTGTGACATTGTGTCGGAACTACAAGCAATCTGTGATAGGGACCCTACAAAGAAATATGATGCCATGTTGGAAGCAGGTGAACATAGGCTATGGAACTCAGGTGGAGAATGGGACTATATATTTAGTCATCTGAACAAGAACAGGTCCACATCAGCCTCGAACATATCAGGGAACTATGGGAGTTGTTCAAGTCTTAACACAGTTCATACTTACTCCGAATGTGATACCGGATTCTATTCTGCGGACCCTAGTAATGTGAATAGTATTCAGAATCATGTGGAATGGAATAGTAATGTACCAAGTCGTTCACGTTCTAAAAGTGATATTTCAGGTTGTGTACAATGTTGCTCAGAACCAAGCAATGTGAACAATGTACCAAAGTGTTCATGCTCAGAACCCTGTGCTCAAAATTCTAGTCATGGTAAGTTTTAACAAGGGTTTAAACCTGCAGTTTACTTCATGCATAATTCAATTAACAGCACATGACTACTTAAAGGCAGGATGGCAGGAACATTTGCATTACATAATATAAATTACAAGTTATTTCATGTATTACCATTGACTTCATGCATCCTTAACAGCTAAAAGTATAAATTAGGTTTGGCATCACTCTGCAGGCAGAGAGATTATGGAATTTCTGAACATTCATTTCCTTTCCATAATGACTGTATTATTTACCTTAGATTATTACATCATTTTGACTACAGGTAAATAGAGGCATTAGATAGGAAGTGATTGTTAACAGCTGAAGCAAACAAAGGTAGATCAGAAAAAGTCAATCATTCAAATGTGTTAAGAATGTTCACCAAAATCTCATAGATAACGCTGCACCCTAGGGGACCCATTGAAAAACTGCATATCTGCACACTTACGTACACAGTAGATACATAGGTAAACTCAGGTGTTTGCAATCAGATCAACAAAACTGACTGAGGCATGAACTTGATGTACCAGAAGCAACCTTATCACAGAAAATACAAATCTGCTTCATGAATAATGTAGAGTTAATCTCAGATGATTATCAGATTATAAATATTGCATAATCTGGTACAGTGATTAATTTTCTTAATGGCTACCCTAATAGCTTTAAGGTGTTCATCTACCAGATAAAGATCTAAAGGCACCACCTGTGGTTTCTACATGCTGCCCTGTGGTACCAGTTAGGCCTGGGTTTATAAGTTAATGGTTCCAGTGATTTTACTGCAGGTTTTTTCTAGGTCTTAAAATCAAGGGCCTGGGCCTTTCCATTTGGGAAAAATTAACGACATTTAGTTAAAATTGGGAAAAATATCATAATTCACATTTTTCTAGAAAAAATTCAAATATGAGCCATTTCTTTACTTGCAAGGCATTTATTGACTTATTTACATTCAATAAATCTTATTGAAAATCAGTTAACTTGTAATTGCTATTCTTTCTACAAAATTTAGAATTATTTGACTTTAATGTCATGCTTCAAATCATCTTTTGGGAATTTTCTTTGATGAAATTGGGAAAAACACACACTTTTTACCATTGGGAATGGGGCCTATTACAGGCCCCCTACGACCCCTAAAAAAAACCCTGTACTGGCATGGGACCGACAGTTTTAAGTTTTTTTTTAAGTCAGTGGTGTGATATTGCAGTGGTCTTCTAAACAGCCTTCAAAAAATAAATTCATTGTGTGGTTTCCATGGCAGTTTCCTTTAGAAGAAACCTTCTTAATATTTTTTAAGTTAAAAAAAAATTATACAACCTTTGAAATGGGATTTGGATGATAACTTTTTATTTATGACTGCATGAAGAACAATTTTGATAAAAATTAGTTAATATTAATAATTATTCTATAGGAACTAGCTATGTTTGCATAGAAGACAGTTATCATTAAGTAAATCACATTATTCTGAGTTCATTTCAAGGTTAAATACAATGATTAACAGATAAATTATTATACAATGTTCACTAAATACAGGTGTCTGCCCTCTAAATTCCTTGTGGACCAAGATGCATTTTACAAGTGGGTTCATGGGGTCATATCCTGTCTTGAAGCTTCTTTGATGCGATTAAGTATTTGCCATTAATGGAGTAAGTGGGTATCTAGTGTGTAATTATCGTTTGAAGGGTTCATTGATGTTGCTCTATAATTAAGGCTGTTTCTATCTTTCTCTATTTTATGGTAGGTGCCTTTGGCATCTAGCATGTCCATAGTAAAATGTCTGGCAATTCTCAAACCAGCTACAGAAAAAAAAAACTGGTGGAAGGAGGTACTGTCTAGTTGAATAGCAATAATGAGAAAATTCAGTCCAATAATGGTTCTAATTTTGGTGTAAATTTTGTAAAACATTTATATACAGCTAGATGTAAAGGAGGTGTATGAACTTCATATTCAGTGAATACTGCTGCCATTTTCAATACAAGCACATGCATATATACATGTTTAAAACTTCCTTGAAAAAAAAATGGATAATTTTCCTAGCAGATATGTTATACATATGTACCATAATTAATAAAGGTTTATTTTCAGGGAATTTTTTTACCCTCAATATTTTTTCATCTTCCTGGTGGGTTTTTTTTTTCTCCAAGTGATGGATGAGTTTCCAGTATTTTTCATTTCCAATACGACAAAGAGTACAATGATGTTACCGGTACTAAAATATTATATGAAAACCTGAGGATGAATTGACCTAGCTTACACCAGTAAATCTACATAAGTAATTATATATAAGCATTATAAACTCTCTCGGTTCCCTAGACTGAACTGAACGAACCCAGACTATAATGTTAATTCTGGAGGTACTTTAAAATTAATTGATAGGTTTATTCATATTTCTTCTATAATCAGGGGAAGTGGGTTGAATGACTAACCTAGATTGGCTTTATTAGGGAGACCTAGGTGTATCAGCTTATTTTAGTATTATATAATTGCTCGACAATAACTTGAATAGAAATTGATGATGTTCTCATTTGACAATATTGTGTAGATTACTGGTCCATTGTTTGAGGGTCCTATCAGATTTTGGGGTCTCTTTAGAAGAACCCGAGATTCTTATCAGATTTTGGGGTCTCTTTGGAGGATCCTGTCAACATGTTAAGGTGTTTACATGTTTACAATATGTCTTGAATCATCAGGTTCATCATAACCGATATCCCTTCAAGTGGTTAATAAGGGATATCAAAGCTAATATTTGAATGAACAATATATAGTATCTAATCTGTAGGTTTTGTTGTGTGGAATTATCTGTCTGGCTAAGCTTTATAGTTGTAGGGTGTTATGGAGACTGGTTATTTGGAGTAGGAAGGTGTGGTTTATGATTGTTAGCTTTATAGATGTAGAGTGGTATGGAGACTGGTTATTTGGAATAGGAAGATGTGGTTTATGGTTGTAAGCTATAGTTAGAACAGCATACACTATGATAGGAGTACATGTCTACAGATTTAACAGTGAGACAAACATGAAGTCAGGCACGGACCCAGGAATTGAAGTTGGGGGGGGGGGGGAGGGAGGCAAAAAGTAGGCAGGGGTCTGGGAGCCGCCTTGAGGCCAACAGTGGGTCCAGGGGGGTGAAGCTCCTGGATTCTAGAGATTTTGTAGGGTAAAAATGAGGTCTACCGAGTAGAAATTTTTACATTTTCTCGACGAAACTCTGATTAACACTTACTTTGACAATGGGGGGGGGGGGGGCAATGGGTGCCCCATCCCCTTAAATCCGCCACTGGACGTGATTAAACAAAGCCCAAAATTTTGACTTACAAAGAAAGTTAATTCCCTGATATTATGCCAAAATTGAGCTAGGGCAAATCAGCATATTGGTATAGATTAATTGAGCTATCCAAAATGTCAGTCAATTAGGGGATTATACCACTGTCTTCATGGAATCCCTATGTATCTCCTAATTAACACAGTTTCTCAGAAATAACAATGATTTTGATACATCCTTTATTCTTAGACAACTTCTGAAATTTTTGTTTTATTTCTGGGATGCCTCTGAGTTTATTTTTGGTATATTAATTGGGTTACTTTAATCTGTGTAGAAACAAGGGTATATAGGGTTATCTGTTTACAGGAAACTCCATTAAAAACATGCAGTCTGCCAGATAAGAAAAGTGTGACACAGGCACACTTCAATAATTTGAATTTTAACCAATTTCATATCAGAATACCTATATTTTAAAAAAAAAAATTGTTTAATAAGATTATTAAAGATGTTAGTGTTAATATTGTCTTGTTGAATTATTAATCCCATAAATCTTTCATTTGAAAGATAGAACTACATGGTCTTAAAATAGACTTGATAAAAAATGCATAACATTATAAAATAGATAAGTAAAAAGATATACTGCTGTCAGTAGTGTTATTCAACCCTTGTCAGACACACAGCCCACAATGCTGTTGTACCTGTTATTTGTTTCCAGATGTTCCCTATATTTCTGTTACTTTTGTCTGTGCTACTAATTACCAGTGGTTACTGGGCAAAGTGAATACAATGGCCTAATGGTGGTAAAGAGGGAGCTAATGTTACTCTTTTCATTAGATGAGAGTTTTGAAGTGAGTGTAGGATTGTCACAGTCCATGAAGAACTTGTGAACTTGTCTCAATCAAGCAAAATCCATATATATTATGATTGATATATATATATATATATATATATATATATATATATATATATATATATATATATATATATATATATATATATATATATATATATATATAATTTGTTTTATAAAAATTGGAACTTGTGTGCTTTACTGGTGGTAATTTTAATATGAAGTACAGTAAAACTTGTCTAATCTATAGATGTGTATTCTGAAATCTTGCCTATTACAAAATGTAAACTTTAAGTCCCTTTCATTAAATTCAATTTATCAAAATCCATGTGTTGTCTAATCCAGAATGTTGTCCAATCCAGCCAATTTCTATGGAACCAAGTGATGTCTGGATTAGACAAGTTTTACTGTATTCATTTGTAGTACATTCAATGGGCTACATCTTTTAAATGACTTTGTGTAGAGTGGAATGGTTCATACAGTGCCATCAAAGTGTCCCACAACTGAATGGTTGACATTAGTGAATAATAACTGGTGTATTCAAGTTATTTTTGTTCATTAATTATGGGTCAGCATATATTATGCTTAGAATACATTTACCATATTTGGTGCCTTTATTGTAATTAGTTGAGATCTGCTTTACATATTTCCATTCCATAAAGCTGACTGTACAAATTAATTAATTCAGAGTTAACTGTATGTTTGATACAAACTTCAGTTATAGAATGGAATTCATATTTCCTTTCCTTAGCTGTATATTCAACAATTCTTAATAAGGCCTCAGAATGTCAAGGTCGATAGCGGACACTCTTGCATAGCAGCATTCTGAATAAAAACAATGTTAAATTGACTAAACCTGACCCATTCTGAGTACATCAAAATAAGTTCCAAAAAAAGTTTTCTGTCATTACTAAAAATATGTTGATAATGTCTTCAGGGAGGAGGCAGAATATGTTTTACAAGTTATTTGTTAAACTAACTGGAAAATATTTAAAAAGAGGAATCAATAGATATCAGATACACCTAGAAATGGCTAGAATATATCTTTCTGACAGAATTATATCCGTGGAATTGTACATTTTTATAATTTGTTGCTACATAAGAGGGAGGAAGTTATTACACTGATTTAATGTTTATGATCACTTCAACAAAAACAAATTGGAATAAGAGGATTATTAGTGTAAATTTTTCCATGATTATCTATGTTGTGGTGATCAAATTTTAGCTGCATGTAATGAATACTTGATAATTGGAAATGAATTCTATTTTTTGTCTCTCTGAGAGTCACAGTTTTCTGTATAATTATATCTATTAAGTTACAATCAGTGCTCTGATCAAGTAACACATCGATTTTTTAAAAACTTGATGAAATCTTTACAGATTGTCATTTTACAAGCCACCAAAAGTGTGCACAGTTAGTGCGACTACCCTGTAAACACTCCCCCGACGGAATTCCTCTAGACGACTCCTCCCAGGAAGTGGAGGGACTTCCCAATGTCTCCGATGTTAATCAGAGTGCCAGCAACGAGACAACTTCGGAGGCTACAAATGTATGTGAGATAAAATTCAAAGGGGCATGGAGAAGTAGATTAACAACTCTGCGGAAATTTTTCAAAATCAGTTGCATGCATGTTCAAGGGAAATTTTTATCAATTATGCTCAGAAATATGATTAAATGTTGAAAAAAAAATTAAAATGTGCTATTAAATAAAATTAGATCACCAAAGGTTCATAGATATTTTTGGCAGTGTCATTTTGTACAAGTTACATGCTAGAGGTGAAAAATGAAGTTTGAAGATGAGGTGGCACATGCTTAGAGAATATAAAATATTCTTAATATTGTTTCTAAATGTAAAGATTACAAGAAAAAGTTGTATGGATAGAATATATTCTGTGTCTCTGTACAACCTGAGCATTCTTGGACTTCTTGTAGGAGAAGGATGAGACGGACAGTGGTTACAGGTCAGGGACCATCCCCGACGACAAGTTACCACGAAAACCAAGCCAGGCCACTCTCAACAGGGAGGAGTTGAAGAAGAAATTAGAGGAATATAATTCACTGGTGCCTGGGGCTGATTTCAAACTAGTAAGTGTTACATATCTAAAACTGGTTTCCTCTTTAGATACATACATTTACCAGTTTATAAAGGGGAAGGGGGGTGCTGTTAAGAAATGTATACTGTGTTGAAGACTGACACAGATTTTAAAGTTGTTTGTACAGATTGTGCAGGTAAAAGTTCACCTTTCAGTTTCAGTCAGGAGGGTATTTGAGACAGATGATATCATACCACATGTATTTACTTTGTCCTTGCACTTCAAGGTCACCTTGGTTATAAGTAAATACAGACAATTATATCATAGGAAAATTAAACAAAAAAGACATTTCAACTTGACAAGTCTATAAAGGAATAAAAGACATTTATGTCATTAAGAGTTATGTCTCTTATCAGAGTATCAGTGAACCTTAAACATGGTTCTATTTTTAAAAAAGTATAAGCAGGATAGGGAGAAGTAGATTGACTACCGGGGTAATTCTCAGAAATTTGAATGTGATCTATTCAAACTGAAACCAAGATTGATTTGCCTATGGTCCTGATAAAACTTTTGAAATTACTTGGAGCTTAAAATTCTTAGAAATCTTTGTAGAAATAGAATTTTGGTCTTTAGATAAAGCAGCCAAGATCATTGAACTAATGATGGCAGATCCAAGATATTTTTTTTGGCACAAAAATGAATTTTTATGATTATATGCCAAAGCTGAAATTTATCTCTAAACTTTAAGCAGCAATAAAATTTTGAAAATTTTTGGATTGCAAACCTATAATCACTAGTAAACAGGTGGTTCTAGCAAACATATTGTTTTCGCTATATATTGTAAATTATTTTAAAAGCAGGAGTTATATTGAGAGGATAAAATGTTTATATTCTAATCTTGAATCGAAATGTATCGTACATGGATTTGATTATTAATTTATGTGATTTAAGAGATAAAAGTTTTTATAAGTACATGGAATTAGCCTGCATGCTAATTAGTGACTGAATAACCAAACCTTAGAAATTCATAAGACCATCTTAATAAAACAAATTTCATGTTAGATTATAATTCATAAAGACAAAAGGTACATGTACATTATGATTAAATGGCTTATCATGCATGAATTCAGAATTCTCTTGAATGTCTAAAAAAAAAAAAAAAAAGGGGCAGGTAAAATTAAAATTTTCTTGAATTTTTAAAGAAAGACTGAGGTATATATATTGAATAATTCTTTCTTGGCAATAAAAAACATGCTTGGTACTGCTGACATGCCGAACATGCATAGAGTGGAATGCAGACAATGCACTGGTAGATTTCTGCTGATGTTAAGCTGCAGCAGAACTCATACAGATCAAAACAAGTTTGAAGGTTTGTCATTCTCCTTGTTGAGTTCTTGTGGTTGTCTTTGTTTCTTTGGAACCCTGGGAAGAGGACAGATGTTTCAAAAAAAAGCAGAGGTTAACAAACCCACAAACAAGCAGACAGAGTCAATGACAAACATATGGTGTGTCTGAGTCAGTTAAAAGCTTGCTTGTCAGTGTTTGTATTCTCCATGTCACAAAGATTTCATCTGACAGAAACAACTTTCAAAGACCTGAATTAAACCATTCAGTTTATTTATGATTCCTCTTAGATTAATCTATCTTGAAAATTGTGCATGGTTTGGTGTACAGTGTGCAGGGTTATGTGGGTCAAAATAAGCTTACTTCATGGGCAATGGGTCACATCTTTGGTAGTATTAATGAATCTTTGAGTGAAATGATAGAATTTATTTCTGATTAACTTGAAAGCAATGTCAAACATCACTGATATCTACTGGTATCTTTTATATTGTATGGAGCTTATTTGTTGCTTTGTTGGTGCTCCAATGCCCCCTATTCAGATTATCCAAACATTGCTTGGCAGAAGGTGGGGAGGCATATAATATCTACAAGTTATCATACAGGGAAAAAAGTCTTGGAGAATTGCCAAATACACTGTGTGGTGAATCACTTGGAATAGCTGCATAAAGTGTGAAAATCTCCTCACCTAATGGACAAACACCTGAATAAATGTATCTAATGAGCTCTCACTTGTCCTGTAAGAATGGGACTCCATCAGATGTTTCATACAATAAATTATATACATGTTGTACACATCATTGAAATTTTAAATGTACAAGTTTATTTCAATGCTTCTCTACATATGAAACTGAAAGCTAAACTAAAAAGACTGACATACTGTATTATGCTAATTAGTTCTCAAATTTACTGTGTTTTTATTTGGATATCTAACTTTTTATATTGCATTAGGGTATCATATTGCCAATAACAAGAACGACATTGCTTTTAAACTAAAATGAAAGCATACCTAAGTGCAATAAAATCTTTCATATCCTGTTCTAGATTCTATAAGAACGTAGTAGATAATACATGTATTTAAAATACCTGACAGACTCGAAGAGTTTTATTGAGAGCTTTAGAACCCATTGTACTTTGATGAGTCAGTCATGTCATATTGAATTTATTTTACAATATCATTGTTTCTCATATTGACTGGAGAAATCCGATTTTTATTTTTCCGTAACACATGTGTCATCACTGTATCCCTGTCATCTTCTCAGATTAATGTTTTTGTCTTGGTCCCTTGTGTGGCTTCAAGTTATTATGGTTCTAGTTGGAAAATGATTTTGTCAAAAGCTGGTTTTAGTACACAGAATTGCAGTAAAATAAACCTTCATAGCAGTGTTTGACTGCATCTTTATTCCTATACATAGCATATTATTTTGTAAAATGAAAGTTTTAGTGTGTGGCTTATTCCAATATCCCATGATAGAATGTTTTTATTTAACAAAATCCAGATCGTAGAAATTTACAGAAAACAAATTCTATTTTTTTTTAAAATTACTTTTTGCAGCATACAGAAAAGGGTGAAACTTTCCAAGGTTTTGTGAAGGTGACCTTGAACCTTGTACGACCTATCTGTATGTCACTGGGGGCACGACCCCCATCTGTCTACGAACTCCTGACCAATGAGCACATCGTGGAACAGAACACCCAGACTATTTCGTTCTACATGCCCCGGGACACAGTCAAGTCCATCCATATTACCAGGTAAGGGACCATCAAAAGGAAGGACTATATAATCCAGTTACTCTGCTAGACTTGTGGGTGTGGGGCTAGGAGTTTGGCTTCTCCATTTCGTACATGGTGTAGGTAGATCATATTTTATTCTGTCCTCTTGCAAACCCTATTCCATACAAAATATATTGATTTAATCTCTACATTTTAAATTCTTAACTTCCATAGAGCATGTATTTGGACCTAGTTGATTCAGTTAATATCTTGAATCCATTTTGATAAGCCTATTTTGTTGTTAAATTTTAAAATTGGGATATTTTATTCTGATTAGGAAAATAATTAACTCAATTATAAGGTATTTACAGTGAAAACAATCCATTTCTATTGCATAGATTAGATCTGTGTTTGTGTTTGATGGGGTTAAAACACACCAAACTTTCTAGGGAGGAGATTCCCATTAAGTCGTGTACCTGCAGAACTTGTAAAAGAGGAAAGCAGACCAGCTTATATGAGATAATCTGTCAAAGATAACAGTCTTCCTTTAAACTGAACTAATTTTTTTAATGGGTTTGAACAAAACCGTCCTCTAGAATATTGTTTTCTAGAAATGTTACAAATATTCTGAACCTTGTTACTGATAAGCATGTGTACATGTAGTTATTTTTAAAAGTCTTTGTATTCAATTTATGTACAAATTGGGCATGTCTTGTATATATACATACTGTATTTCCTGGAAATGTATCCATGCAATTCACAAGGAAGAATTTAAACCTTTCTCTAGATATAATGCATTTAAATTGTTCTATTAAGTTGGTGATTATTTTAAAAATTCTGGGGACAGAATATAAATTTTTATATGTGTAGTGACTGCATATTTTTCACATTGGTATTTCTTTTACAGTGATGAAACTACAAAGGACGTGATCTCCATGTTGTTGAAAAAGTTCCATATTTTAGACAATCCCAGAAAATTTGCCTTGTATGAGCAAGAGCTGAATGAGAAAGGCAAAATAGGTAGGTGGATCTAACTTATTGTTAAAGAATTTGTTAGGTGAAAAGATTTTAAGGTAATGTCATTTAATATGAATAGGATTCAAGATAATTGGTTTAGGATGTTTGCACATTCAGCTCTAGAATTTGGCTAAATACAATGTACCAGTACTAAAAAAAATTCAAAATGGGGGTTGAAAGTTCTTGTATGTATGTAAAACATCAGGCCACCAGCTAGACTGGAACATGCCTCTGTTTGATTTGTAAGCTTCCTTGGTAGTGATAAATTGTACGTGTGATGTGCCTTATAGATTAAAATCAAAGAATAAAAATAGAATAATCTGGGGAACCTATCAAGGTTAAGATGTGTTATAATAGTTTTAAAAATTGAAGTAACAGATAATTATCCCTAACTCTGAGAGCCATTGACGTAATTGTGACGTAATTTAGGTTTTAGAAAAACATTGAATACATGATGTGTGAGTATAGACATAAGACACAGGGTTTTCTTCAGAGAGCTTGGTATCTAAACCAAAGAGGTTTTTTTTTTGCATAGAAATAAAACAGATGAATTTTTTAGCAATAATTTTCCAGCTATTTTCATCAGCAGTTTGATTGTTTGACTGAAATATGAAAACTGTGATCTAGTTTGCATAGGAGACTCAACTTGCAGCTATGACCAGAGATTTTCTTGAAATTTTCATGAGGAGATTAATTCTGAAAGTTTACTGTACCGTATTGACCTTACTTAGGAAGACTGACTTGAGGGTTTGATGCTTCATATTTCTATTATTAAACATTATCATGCTAATGTAAAAGGTTATTGAACCATCTGGAGAGAGAATTTATTCACAGTGAAACCTGATATATTTCTCATCTAAAATATCATTCAGTGTCCTTTTAAACAAAGTCATTTGTATATTGAAGTCTTACTTATTTTCAAGGCCTGTGGCCTTGTTATTAAAGTCAAAAGGGCATTACAATGACAGACTTTAAAAAGAATGAGTTTAGCTTACCTCACTTTATCAGCTATAACAAAAATCTACTATGCATTCATCTCTGATATCTGAGATTTATGTACTATCTTGTTTGTGAAATGAGTATAAGTAATATTATGTTACTTATTTATTTTAGCCAAGCTTCGGCGGATCCAAGAGACGGAATACCCACTCCATGTATCATTACTCTGGGACTCAGACAGAATAGAAAGAACACGTTTCGTTTTACAGGAAAACGAAAATGGTGAAATTGATGTAAGAAATTTTTTTTTTAACCACAAGTTTTGAAGTTTGTTACCATTTTGAATAGCTAATAAAGTCTATCAAAAATACATTAAAACCTTTAAAAACCTGGCTCTGGGGCCATAAAACTTAAACAAGCTCATTTTTTATCTCAATCTCACTTACACAATAGAAATTTATGGTGGAAAGGTGAAACCGAGATCAAAAGTGAGCTCATCTAAGTTTCATGGCCCAGGAGCTTGGCTCTGGAAATGAGCTCACTTCTTTTCTTAGTGTCACTTTTTCACTATAATTCAATCTTTTTGTAAAAGTGAGACTGAGGTCAAAAGCGAGCTTGTCGAAGTTTTATGGCCCCAGAGCCTAGTTCTATAGTTCTAAAGTAACATCATAAATAGCAAGTTAATCCTTCCAAAATTCATATTGACTTCATAAAGCTGTCAAAAATCTCCAGACTATTTGAATTTATCAGTTGTAATCCACATAACATGTCAGAAATGTGTGCTTTTAAAACTTTTCACATTTAAGCATTTGAGTTCATTTTTTTTCACTCACAGAAGAATTCAGGGTCTACACATAGATTTTTAGTATTTAGGAATCAGATTGCCAGATTTCAGACACCTGTCCAAAACAAATTGCTCAGACAATAATCAAGATAGTGCCTCAATGTAGCTATAAATCTCAGCATTAGGAAACCCTCTTAGCTTGTCAGTAACCCCAGATCATAACAGGGGGCATTCCTTATATCAAAGGCAAGGGAGAAGTCATTGATCAGAAAGTACAAATTTTCCATTTGCATATATGATATGATTGCTGTTTTGAAGCATGCCAAAAAATTAATTTGGATTTTCTCCAGAGGTATAGATAATTTTTTGGGGAAATATTGAAAAATACCTGCACACAGTATAAGTTTAACTGATGATATTTGAAATCTTTCCGATTTTCTCAAACTGTTGAGGGACTGCAAGAACAAAGACGCTGGATTTGTTTAGTCATTTATTTACAGGCAGATTAGCTTGATAAAAAGCAAGAAATCGCTGCTTATCTACCATGTATATTGAAAGTAGATTGAAAGGATTTGTTTTTCTTGGTTATTCTTCTTGTATGAGTTTTATTTCCGATGTTAAAGAAAATGATCACACCCAAGATATTTTTGAACTGAGTGTTTATCATCTTGTATGAATGTCTGTCCCAACATTTAATATAAAAGCTACCTGCAACTATATATATATGCATGTTTAAATTTCATACTTTGTCAAGGTGATGTTTGTCGGTGTCGTAGCAAGTGCAAACTCGGAAGATCAAATAGAATGCTGCTACACAATCATAAGCTTTTTAAGGTACATCATTAACACTATCTTATTTTCACTTTTCAGTGGGAGGCTTTCAGTTTACCCGAGTTAAGTAACTTCCTGCGAGTACTAGACAGGGAAGAACAAGAGTACCTAACAGAACTTAAACACAAGTATAAATTCATGAAGAAGATTGTCCAGCAAAGACTCAAAGAACTTCGAATTGAGAAGCAGCAGGCTGCTGGCAGCAAAAGGGATTCGTACATCCGTCCTGCGGGGGCTGATCATCCGCTAGCCCAGTCTTCATGATTTGTACATAAGGTTGTGATGCCTCAGACGAGGATGTGGTGCTTTTGTCATGTGATATAAAATTGTCCAATCAGGGAGCCTCATTACATTATGTGCAGAACTGAATCAATCAAAATGAGGTTCTCTAACTTGTTGGATTCAATTTCTTTCATACCTCGGGTGTTAATATGATATGGACATGATATCAGTGTAGTGCCTAAATGTGTAAATGTTCATTCCCAATCTGGAGATGAAAAGTCCAAAAAAAAATAATCACTGTGATGTTATTTTAGCACTTTGCGTTTTGGAACTCGCTTGGAGACAGTTAATTCCCATCTCCAAAATGGCTGTCAGGGCCATTATTTATGTATAGTGTTTATATTATATATAAGATATAGATTATAATATGCATGCATCAGAGACTAGTCATGCTAAAAAAAAATTACAAAACATTGTAAAATAATAAGTATACTCAGCATTGTATAGATCAATCATAAGTGCTGTCTCTGTTTCTTTATAGATGATTTTTTTTAGGGCAACATGGATTTAATTCATTGTTTTAGAGCTGTACCTATTCTTCCAGTAGAATTCCATCCTGCATCATCATTCAGTATTACATGTAAACATTTTATGTGTAGAGGTGCCAATAGACTTATCAATTTGTAGCTGGGAAAAATAAATTAAGACGGGATTTAAATTCTAACCTCAAAAAACGTCTCTGGTCAAGTAAAGCTATATAGATTGACAGATTCAAATATGCCACCAATTTCAGGATACTGACTTCTAAGTGTGAAACTTGGGTAAATGATATTAAGAGTAGATATTAACGTTTTACTCATGTTATATGTTATTTTGGGTACTGGATTCTAACGTTTTGCACAATCAAATACATGTACATATTTTCTGTAAGCTGGCAGCTCTGTGTTACACTTGTTGCATCACTAAATGTGATATTTTTCTCTGGAATCATTTGCGGAAAAAAAATTATGTACACCTTATGTAGACTTCACATATAAATGCCATTAAGATGCCTTCCAGAGATTTTTTTTTCACCCCATACATATTCAACATTCACATTTAATCGAATTAAGAATGAAAAATTGAGGACTTCAAATATCTGTAAACTCAATCATGTCAATAGCTTAGCACCCTGAATTCTTGGCATAATATTGGATGCAGATCAAATCTGTGTCAACCCTTCCTGTGTTCCAGGTGCATGCGATGCCAAAGTTCTGCATTGAACCTTTATATACCTATATCCCATCTCATCTTTTGAATATAAATACTGTCCATGCAGCTGATGCTTTGGATAGGTAGTCAAGGGAGAAATCAGTAATTGAAAAAATGTGTCTACATATACTTAGAAAAAGATCCCCTTGTTACAAGTGGTGATGTTAATCACACAATACTGCCACAGCTTGCTCACACAAAACACATTGTGCTTCAATATACCTGCATAGGATAGCATTGGAGTTGCATAGGGTAAAATGTATGATATAATAGACTTATCTATTATTTTTACAGCAGATGTTTTCTCTAAAGTGCCTTCTCTCTACTATAGCTCAGAACACACATTGTCAATATATTTATAAACTGTTAAGATTTTACAATGAGTAGTTCAAATTTTAAGCAGATTCTGATACTTTATATTAATCTTGCAAATATACAGAATCACCATTTGATATTTTTCACTATCTGTGTGGTAAATTGCAAATGGCTGCCATTTGTCATGGCAACCAGCTAGGGGGGAAAATATGCTGAAATCAGCTGATGTGTAATCAGGGCTATGGGAGCTTTGTTTATATATGACACAAGGGAAGGGAGCATGTTTACATTTCCTTTCCTAACAGGTGTCTCTTGAATTGGGGAAAAAATTCTAGATGCCAGACAGATAATGAAAGATGAAATCAGTTGGTGGAAACTCATCATATCCCAAGGTCTTCTTTAGATAGAAAACATCTTGAAATTTTACATTCAGCTATGTTGTAGTATACTGTCACAGTGTTATTTTGACCAGTGAATGCAGTACTCTGTGTCCACATATTTTATGCAACAGACCTTTTGTTAAACGCACCACACTTTTAGTAAATAGCTTGCCTTACATTCCCGGTATAATTGGTACACTGTATGTTGACCATGCCCTGACTATTCATGCTAGCATTTGATTTCCATCACAGACACACATCACTAAGAGGTATTCCACATTTATAGTATATGTGGAAAAAATTATTTTCGAGTGCCAGTGATAAATTTAAATAATAAAATTGCATTTATTATTGTATTTATTGTCATTAATTCATGATTTGCATCATTTTTTGTCAATATTTATCATTTTCATGAATTACAAAATTCATGTTTTTCTCATCAAACATGTACAAGTGTCATCACAGGTGCACATTGTCTGGTTTTGATTTTTTATTTGGGGTGGTGAGGTGGATTTTAGCTAGGTCTTTTTCTTGGTCTTTTGGAAAAAAAAAATATATGTATATCATCATCATTATAGTCGTATTATCTATTAGCATGATTAGTGCATCCCTATATGTAAACAGAAGATGTGAATATATTAATACTTATTTCTGTAATTGCTGTAAAGTACACAGCGTGGTCCTTTGATCTCTAATTAACTGAATGATTCTTTAATTGAAAAAATGGCTCATATATTTATTATGGAATGACTGAGTAAAAATTAATTTTGCACCTTGTATTATTTTGAGTGCAGTGGTGTTTAACAGATTGTACATGTGCTACAAATGAAAACTTGTTAACGATATCATTGATTATTAATTCAGGTCAAAGTATGACCTTGAAAGGTCATGACATGACCTTGTATCATCAGAGTAACCACAGCTTTATGGATCTTGTTACATATATTGTTGAATTCTCTGTACCTTACTTTCAAGCAAAAAACCTGTTAAAAAAACAATAAAAACGAAACAAAAATCACCAGTTGTTTCTCGTTAATTTTATTATGCTTGTACATTTGGTTATACAATTTAAAGCAGTAACCATTTGGTACGTGATGATGATTAGAGTGACAGTGGTGAGGATGATTTTCATGAAATTTATAAAATAAATAAAATGTTGGCACATATATGCAATGGACATGAATATTACAAAATTTATACATGTCAATATGGTGTGACATATGTTGCTGAATGCCATAAAATGTATAGTATAGACTACAACAAAAGTTACTTCACAAGAGTCAAGTTTAGCATACCTATATAAGTAGTCCAGAAACTTCCAATGTACAGGGTGTTGTTAAATTCAAACCCCTCCCCAGAAGCTTTGATAACCTTGGCTCCGTGATCATGTAGACTCCTAACAATGTTTCCTTCAGTGTCAATTTCTAATATTATGGAATGTTTTGGCATAAAGATGTCAAAGACTCTTAGAGGTGTGATCTAAAATACAAAGTACATTAATACCTATAGGCACAAATGTATATTAAAGTACATGCAGTGTACCTTTTACATTCAATAATGATGCTAATTCATGAAACTTGACTCGTAGATCACACTACATGTACTTGCACAGTAATGAATATGCTGATGGTGGTACATTTCAATATAAGGAGGGCAGAGAAAACTCTCAAAAGCATTCATGTCTGACATGAAAATGAAATAGAAGTTATAAATCAATAAACAAACTGCTAAAATGTCCAAATTTTGATATACTCTTGATGAAGGGGAGATTCCTCTAAAGAATTCAACCCAGACATGTGACTCTATAGTTAGGACTGTAACTTGATTGTCTTCTCTAAAAATTACAGCAAAGGTTGTAAGTTCAAAGTCACATCTCCAGTATAATATGCTTGTACATAATGCATATAATAGTTAATGTTTTCTTCCATTAAATACTTTTTTGTACTTTGTTAATGCCCGACTTTCAAGCACTGTTGTGAATTTATTATGTAATATTTATCATACACTGTCAGATTTAGAGGGGGTGGACCCTTTTGTGACCCCAAATTTAGTAAAGATGAATAAATAATATTTTAGTTGTTAGTTTTTGCTTTTATAGTACGTGAAAAGAATGTTTACAATAACCCATAAAACTGATCTCAAACAAGACTTAAAATCTGGGAGCTTCTGGGGATTTGTCCTTTTAAGGAATCCTGGATCTGTTAGTGTTATAGATTAATAATTATGGATCAAGAAATCAAATTTACCAGGCACCAACATTGGGAGTTAGTTTTGTTCATTAGAATTACTTGTTTTGGTATAAGACTGGTTGTATCCAGAATGAATCTTACTTCTTAAGCAGATCATTACATGCTCTATAGCTGTTGATTCTTACTGCCACCATGTAATTATGTTAGTATTAAATTAAGGAACCTCCATTCAATAAAAAAAAAAAAAGGAGGGGGGGGGGTTGACATCAAGAAAGTCATATCATATAAAGGTGTAAATATTGAGTGTATCTATTTCATTTAAATACTGTAGGTTACTAAATTTTCGTGACACCTATTTTTGTAGTTATTTGCTATTTACAAGCAAGACAAAGTTTTCACTCATGCTTATTATGGTAGAGTTGTAAATAATCTTAAAGATAAAAACGGGTGCGAGAATAAAATTTTTGCAAGCAGATCGGCTCGCAAATTACACCAAAATAAAGTTCTCAGGAATAAAATGTAATTTACAGTATATGGCACTAGTCCCTAACCCGTATAGGAAAAATTCAAGCCCGGACAACAATTACTGTTGCTTACTAACACGGGGAAAAAACAAACAAATAAAGGCTTTAATTATTTTTTCTTGGCTGAATAAAATGTTAGGAATCCTTTACTGATTACAAATTGAATTATTTAGATTAAAGGGCAGATCACTCTATAACAGAATTACAACTCTTTTAGTATACAGCGTGAAGTGGTTTCTTAACTACTGGTACATTTATATAGAGACAGTGTGCAGTACATGAACTACCTTTGTAAGAAATATTTTGATGGCTGGATAAGGTCCTATGAGGTCTAAAAATGGTCCCAGAAGGCTGACCCCTTTGTACCGGACTGACCCCAATCCAAGATAAAAATTCCCCCGACTGTTCAGCTTTATGTTGTCTGGGTATCCAGGTAGATTCTGTGTTAATACCTCCGACTGGCCAGCTTTTGGACCTTTTAAGAAATATCTAAAAGAAAAAATAATCACACCTACAATTTAAGCTAGAACTGACCTCAATATATCTGAGGCCTGTTCAACAGAGCGAACGTTTGCGAGCGCTCGTCAAAATTCCTTATCCCTCCAACAGAAATGTTTGCTAGCGCTAGATGGAGGTTTCAAAATACTTATAAAATGCTACAGGCAAGAGAATGGTTTGCCCCTCCCAACTTTTACTTGCTGGGCTCCTCCTCTTTGGAAATTAGTATTTCGTATTAGGCTTACATATTATGCATTTTCATAAGTCAAGGGTTTTTATAGTCTCTCTGCTCCCCTTTTCTTATTCCATATATGGGAGCAGAGTGAACCAAAATCCCTTTGCTAGCTAAAATAGCCAAGGGTGTTATATTACAAAGGAATTGTTTCATTATAAATAAATAATGTCAATGACTTGAAATTCATCGTGTCATAGCAAAAAAAATCTCCGATAGAGAATGGGACTATTAATTAGGAGCCACAAAAACTTTTTCTGACCTCCGTATCTGACAAGCACTCATTTCAGCGATGACCAGCATGCTCTCATCTGATGATAAAGCCACTCCATTGGCCAGGTACAGGTTGTCTAGCAACAGTTTGATTTCCTTGGTAATTGTGTTGTACTGAATCAGTCTGCCTTGCCTGTTGACCTCTATAACCTAGAAAAAATCTGATTCATGCTTAATGTTTCATCCTCTCTCTCTCCCACTCTCTCTCTCTATTTTTAACTTTCTGAAAAGTATATAAAGTACATGTATTTAAACACTCCACTAAAGGATGGCAAGATAAAATTCCCATCAAACACGTTATTTTTATTTTCAATTCTGATCAATGCCCTTGCATAAAAAAAAAATGTTTACTGAAGTTCCAGCAGGCATTTGATTAGTAAAAAGAATAACACAACTGGAGAACTAGATCAGTTCGGACATCAAAACTAGCCTTAAGGTTCATAAACCCTCTGATCACTCATGTAAAATGTTGCTTCAACTTTTATGTTTTTCGAAAAGAAATGTATTTTATAAGTAAAATACAAACAATCATATCATAGCTTGTGGGACAAAATTGAACAAAAAAGACATTTTATCGTGACAAATCTATAAAGGAATAATAGACATTTATGTCATTAAGAGTTATCTCTCTTATTGGAATATCAATGAACCTTAAAAGAAATGGGACAGAAATGATTGACATTACCATTCAGCTTGCTAGAGAATAAGCTGACTATACATCTTTTTTAATTATAAACATGTAAACTTATGCTTTAATTTTATTGATCATTCCAATAAAATACTTGTTGTGGAATACTTAATGGGTTTTAAGAGCAGCGAAAAAGTTTTATCATTTTTTTATCATATAAATGTGTACTGAGCTCCTTCTGCACTGTTCATGATGTAATAAAATCAAAAATTATGACCATCTGTTAATTATAACTGTACAGGAAAAAATTGACAGATTGTTTTATCACAGAAATTCCTTTCTAGGGCCAATAACTCATGATTCTTAAACCTGATACCTTTTATTATCATTTTTGAAGCAAATCAATACACTGGCATGATGTTCAGTTCAAAGCGAATTATTGATATTAACATTATTGTTTGGTGTGTATTTCAAACATTTTGTTTAAATAAACACATCATTACATCAAACTCAATGGTACCTCATATCGATAATTCCTCCTATCCCATTTTTTGCTGGAGTCTGTGAAGTATACGACACCATCCTTTGTAATGTCTAAAGCATTCAGGAACTTAAATGGCTCACCATTTACTCCTGGTAAAAAAAAAAAAAACATCTCCACTCAATACCATATATTTCAGTAAGGAATAACAAGTGTTTCACAATACTTGCTTGTGATGATATGATGATACTCAGTAGAGAATAAAAATACTTTTTACAATTTTAAAATTACTTTGTTTTATATATAATTAAATAGGTAATTTAAAGTCATCAATACAACAATAGGCCTATGAGCCACAATGCTCACCTGAGTCATTTTGGCCCTGCTGTTCTTCATCAGCATTTTTTTTTTAAATGTCCCTAGCCCTTCAATTTCATAGGAATTTTGACAACAAAATCTAGCCCTAAGAGAGTATGAGTTGATAAAAAATAATCCCCTCAACATTAGTACAAATGTATGCTTCAATATCAATACAATTAACATGACCCTGCTGTTCTGGAGAAAGATTTTTTCCACGTAAACATGCATTGTGTAAAATCTGGATCTCTGATTTTGGCCCACCTACCCCTAACCCCAGGATCATAATTAAAAACAAAACTGATTCCACATAACTTTGGCAGGTTTTGCCTATTAATAATGATTTAGAGTGGCCTTGTCTTGAAAACATTTCTTCCTATATACTCCCTTGTAAAACTTTGATCCCCTATTGTAGCCTCAACCTATTCACATATGTTCAATGGTTCTGGAGAAAACATTGAAAATGTTGAAAGTTTACAGACAACACACACAAACAACAGACAGACACCTGATACACTTCAATCAGAAAAGCTCATTTCAGCTTTTGGCTCAGGTGTAGGGGTGAAACGATACACCTCCTTCACGGTTCGATACGTATTGTATAATTTTGTCTCGGTTTGGTTATTTTCGATACGATACATTTTGATAGAAGGAAACAAATTCTACGTTGTTTTATGCTTTCTTTTTCTAAATCTAGTCACATATTTTACGAATTTTATTTGCAAATTGACTAGAAGAAATTGATTAAAATTATTTGACTGTCAAAAATTATTTTACAAGCTATCAGTCATCAAAAATTTACGTTTTCTATACTTATTTATACTGAGTAACGTGTTATACCTTATGCCAAACCCGACTGAATAACGATCCCGACCGAAAAATGAACCGAACCGAAAATTAGAGATTTTGCACCGTGTATCAAACCGAGAAAAAATACCGCGGTGCATCGATACCGCGGTGAACCGTTTCACTCCTACTCAGGTGAGCTAAAAATGATAGAAATATTATATAATAAATTCTTTTTATTGGTCAAAATATAATATATTATACAGTAAAACACAGTTGCAGCAAACACATGCACTTATAATGAATTCACACCTAAAGCAAAGTAATTTTCATTCCCTGTAGATTAAAACCTCTTTTTACTCATCAAATATTATAATGAATTACGTTTCTGGTGAATCAAAATTGTTTGTCCCTGGCACTTTGCTGTAATTGTGTTTTACTGTATTTTCATCCTACATTTTTTTAACAACCTGTGGTACTTGGAATTAGGACTTGTATGTCACCAGTTTTTGTGTCCACCTGTAAAAGTCCTTTGTAGGAATCCACCACAATAAGGGGCAGGGATGGGTCTGCCATATTGATCTTCATTCCTTTAGGCCGCCCACAGATGGGCTCAAGCTCAAACGTACCTTCAAAAGATCATTACATGATAATTCAAATTTTGCTAGCTACTATGGTGGTAATCTCATCAGAGCCGTGATAAAATTTCAATCGGAAAACTTCAAATGTTGATTTTAGCAATTTCAAAAGATAAAACAAAGAATTATACGAAACATCTCTGGCCAAAGGTGTTAAAAAAATACCCTGTATAGTATAGTAACGAGTAATAGTTATATGTCCTCAATGTGGCAAAATTTAAGTTGTAAATACATGTATATGCAAAACTGACAATCAGACAGAATTTTTCATAAAAAATACACTTATTTCAAATGTATGACATAGTTGACTAATAATTAAACAAACTATGGCAATGATTATTCAAATATCCTGGTCATTTTTTAATGTTAAAGGAAAACTTTTGTATTAATATCTTTAACCAGATTGATCAGCCTCTAAACTTATTATCAATAAATAATGGATTCCTCTTTCAATTGCCCTTTATAGCTTAATATATTCACCAGCTGTTTCCAGATTTTCCATTGCTATTCATCTAGAAAGCATAATCTAACTCTTCGAAATTTTATGGCAGATGTAATAATGATCTTGAAAAATATGAATTGAACATATTTTATTGACAAAAAGTCAAAAGGATAATAATTAAGTTCAGAAATTTGAAAATTTACTTTAAGATGTACAGCAGTATTAAGGTATATTTTTTGTTCCCTTAGTAAATCTTTTAGTCAATTTCTGCTTTTCACATACCACATTGTGGGTGGAACTCTCCTGTCCTGGTTACCTGCCAGAGTTGTTCCCCTTTGAATCCCACAATTCTGCCATCAGCTAATCCTGTGTATAGGACTCCTTATTGAGGAAATCAAGAGAAATATAAAAACTATATTAGGCCAAACAAAAAAATATGTGTGGTTCCGGTTACACTTCCAAAAAAATTAGGGTAGGTAGGTAGGGATTTCTTTTTTTTTTTTTTTTTTTTTTTTTTAACAAAATGATTTTCTTAATTTTTTCTAAATAATACCTATCACTGCTTTGCAAATGGCATTTAGATGTGGTGTGATAATATACTAGTCAATATTGGTAGGGGACACCTACATGCTAGCTTGCTTTGGATTTAACACTATTAAACACTTGCAATATGTTTTGCAAGGAGGCCGTCATTGCTGAAACTGAAACTTAAACTGGAGCCATTGATGGAAATCGGGTGAAATTCCGGAAAAAATATGAAAATTGCCAAAAAAAAGTTTAGGGTCGGGGGTATAAAATAGGGAAGGTCGGGTAACCAGAACCACACATATTTTTTTATTTGGCCTTAAAGATCAATAATTTATTACCTTTCTTAACCTTTAAATACTTGACAAATGCTTTAAAATGTGTTGAACAATTGTAAGAAAAGACAATATTAAATTTTAAGGTTCATTGATACTCTGATAAGAGAGATAACTCTAATGACATAAATGTCTATTAATCCTTTATAGATTTGTCAAATTGAAATGTCTTTTTTTTTTCAATTTTGCCCCACAAGCTATGATACAATTGTTTGTATTTTACTTATAAAATACATTTCGTTCGGAAAATCATAAAAGTTAAAGCAACATTTTATATTAGGGGATCAGAGGGTTTATGAACCTTAATAAGTTAAAAGTTTTTGATCAAGGCTAAAAAAAAACACATCAATAAATAATTTATCTTACCATCAGGGTCTACTGCAAATGACTCTGGGCCAGTAACCTCCCCTTCAAATGCCCTTGTTGCATTCTTAAGGTAGGAATTTATTGTCAATGGTCCCACTAACTCAGGCAAAGGTTTGGGATAACTATCAAAGACAGAGAAGTTATGTACTTTTAGATTTGATAAAAGAAACCAATTTGAAGAAAAAACAACATACACCTACTAAACAAAACTTATTTTGTAATTTGTTTATAGTCTCTGTTTTATGGATTATGGATAGATGTCAGTTCTGAAATATTGATTGCATTTGCATTAAAAATTATGATTTTTTTTCCTATCTACATATATGTATGCTAAAATCTTAATTTTTACAGTGAATATAATTTATTGGAAATATATTTATAATACTTATACATGTATGTTTAAGTGAGCAGGTAAAGTTTCATAAATATATTCATATACAATGTCATTCCTATGATTTGGGGAAAGGGGGGCTGGCAAATTTTTTCAAGTCCGATTACCTTTTTTCATGCCAATACTAAAAGGACAGATTTATGAACAGATTATTTATTTTCATCTATTTCATCTACACTGAAAAAGTTTAACAAGCAAAGAAATAGAGAGAAAGAGAGAAAGGGAAAAACTTCCAAACTCTAGAACTCTATTTCACTGAGGGGAAGGGGGTATAGTTGCACCAGTCAGGAAAAGATTATTTCCAACATTTTTGAGGACATATTATTCATTTCCAAATTCTCCCACCCCCACCCCACCCCCTCCCAACCCTTGAAAATCAACCTATTGTCCCCAGTTATATATATAATTGTTATGAAAGTGGACGGCATACATGTATATAAAATTCATCAATTCATTCAAAATCTCTTTATTTTATGAAAAATGTAACACAGATAAGTATTCTACCTACCTGTAAGGCCGGGGGTGAATAGGAGAAGGAATGTTGTAAATATAAACAGCTAACCATAATGTTAAAAAGGGTAAAATCCAGGTCTTCCCAAATCTAAGGGGGAAAAAAAAAGTAATAGTTTTAGTCATTTTAATTAAAATAAATGTTCTAACACATGATAACTAATTGAATTACATTACATAGAAGAGCATCAATCGTTAAAGTACTATTTTACAAAGATGTACGTATGATTTCTACAGCAGAGAGAGAGAGAATGGAGAGAGAGAGAGAGACTCACCCCATGGTAGAAGTAAGACGATGCATCATTTTCTGGCCAGTTCAGATTTAGGCCTCCTCTCCACTTCTGCAGTTTACATTACCTCTGGCCAATGTTTATGACACCCTGTCCGATGTTATTCATATTCAGTAGGTATGTAGGTATGCGAGTCAACCCTCCCCTTTAAAACTTATGTAACGTAAAACTGCCATGACATGAAAACGTATATTTCAACTCAGTTTTCTGAACTTCAAGCATCTTCTTTTCTCACTTAAAGTAATGTCCCAGTGAACGATGAACTACGTTAACTTTATAAAAAGCACGTGTATATGACTGCATGCACTCTAATTGTGGTTAAAAATATTTTCTTTAGCGGCCTGTCTGCGCCCCCTTCGGTGCCCAACAGATCGTCTGGTCACCTAAGGGCATGATTTGTCCCATGTCAGCAATCACAATACACACAATCTCGAACTCGGTCACTTTGCCTATCGAATATCAACTCCAATTTCTGGTGATACGCAGTCCCTTGGGGGTTTAAGAAGTGTTTCATAAAAAATGACGATGATCACATTATACGGATAAAGATGTATAATTATATGACGTCTGTAAATCGTTTCTAAAGATGTATAAAGTCATTACTTTCATAAACGCATTATTCGAGTTCAAAAAGTTACTGGAGCATATTTTGTCATACATTTGTGTAAACTTTGTTCCATTTTCAGACTGCATTGTGAACTCAAATTTTAGCAAATAATTTAAGGGTGACCAGTTATTCTATAAAAACTGATTACATGCACAATACTCCAATGATTTTAAAATAAGTGTCTGTACATACTATTTTCCTTTTCACACGATTGTATATTTTATACATGCACACTATAGAAATGTCGGTACACCGTGGTGGATTTAAGGAGGGGTACTTTCCCCGTAAATTTTTTTCCCCTTCAAAAAGCGAAAATTAGACTTAATTCTTTCACTAATGAGAGTTTAGATTATACGCGTCTCTTGTGTAAAATAAGAACAAGCACAGGACGATTTAGAAATATGTTTGTATATGTATATTGTATTTCGTGTGTATGATCATAATCATTATATACATTTTAACAATGTACTTTCTTTTTGCCCCATGAGGGCCCTTAATTGGTCAATAAACGAATTGTAATTGTAATTGTATGTTTGTATGATTTTTTTAAAATCGTTTGAACGATTTAGAAAATCGTTTGTACGAATTTAAAAAAAAAATCGTTTATACGATTTAGAAATTCGTTTGTACGATTTTTAAAATCCTTTGTTCGACTTAGAAAATCATTTGTACAATTTATACAAAAACAGAGGAAATATGCAAATGAATATGCAATTCTCACACGACTTTTTTTGAAACAATTGATATAGATATGAACAGATCACCTTTTTGGCCAAATAACAATTAATTAATCCCCAAATTGGAAGTGTTGACACCCCCCCCCCCCATAACGTTCAAAATCATTCCTGTTAGCCTGATTGGTGAAGATTAGAAAGCAAATTAGGAGAGCAAATTCTCAAAAATGATTAAGATCAAATTCAGAGCAACTAGAGTATAGTCAGTATTAGCTAAACTAAGTGAAATACATCTTGCAATAAGACTGGTTCCTGTTGCATTATATTGTTGTTTTGTTGTGTGTGTGCTTTTTTTTTAATTGTTTGGATTTGTGTGTGTGTGTGTATTAATTTTAAAAATAAAGCGCCATCAAAAATTACCTACTAAATTGAATATTTTATGATTATGTTCGTTTTATTGAATATTTCATTCTTGTTTAAAAACTTTATTCATGAGGGGAAGTGTGAATGTGTGAGAGAATGTGAACAAAAATTGCATTATTGATGCTAATTGCAAATTGATGCATTTTTCTTTGGGAAAAAAAAAATTTTGTACCTTTGTCAACACTTGCAGTTTTGTGCCTCAGCCAAATTACGCTCCAACAACCACACCATCACCAAACCTAACTAAAATACGAAAGAAATAAGTAAAAATCGTGTAAATAATAAGTTAAAAAAATAGAGAATTTGTTCTTCACATAAGCATTATTGTCAAGTATGGTTATTCATTTTTCTCTTGAAAATCGTGTTCAAAACATTAACTTCAGTGTCCAGAAGACGTACATCTTTTCTTTTTCTTTTTTAAGTAGAAAAGGGGGGGTCTAGCCAGAACATGATGGACAAGCAAAGAATTTCAGAAAAAAAAGAAAGAAAGAAAGAAAAAAGGGGGTACTGGCCCAACTCAACAATCCTATTGGGGGGGGGGTGTTAGGAAGCAACCTTCCTTTCTTTAAAAAAAAATGTTTTATGATATATTAACGTGTGACGGTTTCATCGTACTTCAGTAAAAAGTGGTGAGGAGCAGGACAACCGGTCTTTCAATGAAAATTCCCATACCAAATCGAGAGAAAAAGAATAAACTAGGAAAAAAGTGGGGTCATATATTCAATGTTCTCAATCCAAATATACTATTTTTATACAAATCGCATTGGTAGGATTTGTATGCTGAGAATAAGAAAACTACTACATGTTTTATTGTTCGGTGGGGCGTCAGGCCAGTATGAGCACTAACTGCCACCGTGCGCCACAAATTGTGCCTCCGAAATCTCTTGATAGCGATTCCGCACGAAATCCTCACGGACTCCATGTGTCACTCACGACAAAGGCCCTTTTATTTATAAATAAAGCAAAATGTGACGTGGCCAAATTTATATTTTACACCTTTCAAGTATTTTTCTTAAAGACTATAAAATTTTATCTTCCTTGAAATGATTATCAAATAAAATTCATTAATTAAATATTAAGCGGAATGATAATATTAAACGAAAATTAAAATTTGACATTATAAAAACAGTTATGATATAAATTTCAATTTATTATATTTCATTTCTAAACATAAGGGAGAGAAATATTTGTGTTTACTCTGAAAAAGTTCGGGTTCGAGATTCAAATTCGACAGGAAGTTTACAACAAGAACTCGCACGTTGGTTGTTGGAATTTGTTTAGGTTGGAATGTTCAAGAATTTTAGATACTAAGCATGAATTCGGATGGTACACAAGTCCTACTGTCTGTCGAAGCAGAAGCTTACGTAGAACATCTTGTGAAATTTGGGATAAAAGATGTCGGAGGAAGAGAGTAAGTTAAAAAAAATTCGGCGTTGTCATAGACGCTGATAATTTTTTTTCTAGGTGTTGGAACACCTCTATGAATCTGAGAGTCTAGATGTGAGCTATGTTCTGGCCTGTTACATTCTTTCTATTCTGTAACATTTAGCACTATCTTTTCCATTGGAACTGATGTGGATCGGTTTACCAGGTCCAGCACAATCTCTTGATTTAGCTATATAGCTTGAAAAAGCTATATAGCTTTATTAACCTATTCAAAATAGCTTGATAAAGCTATTTATGTGCAGTTTTTCAGAAAAATGTGTTTTGTAAGAAATAGACAAAAAGTCGCAAGTATTTGACTATTCATATATGTACTATGGGCTATCAAAACAACAACCTAATTCAAAGATGGTTCTAACATTTGAATACTTTTAAGCAAAAGATGAATTTCCATTGTTTGAGTAACTGTAGACCACCTTGTGTGCGTTGAGGTGTGGATAAGTATGATTGCTTCTCATTGTACTGAATTATTACCAATCAATTATCTTGTTGACCATAATTGGCATCTTTTTTAATTTCAATGAAGAAGTAACTGTATCAATTGCTTTATATAGCCCCAAAACTTTTAGAACTTTGAGTACAAAGTCTCTTAAGGAGACGTAATTTGATGAGTGATTTTTACATGCATTATTTTCAGAAAAGTTCAAGGTTGAATATTATCACTGCACCAAGGTGCGACTTTTTGTGCATGCTGAGAAAATAACACATTTAAGAAAAAAGTGTGATAAAATAGCTAAATCAAGCTATTCTGAATAGCTTAATAAAGCTATATAGCTTTTTCAAGCTATATAGCTAAATCAAGAGATTGTGCTGGACCTGTTTACATGTAAGGGCCATGACTTGGATCCTTTCGTAATAACTTGCATTTTCTGTTCTTCTTAATTAATCTCCGTGAGATTCGTCGAAACTAAATACAAATGTACTGACCTTTGTACTTTACTTTGAAACTTCAGTTCAAAATTTTTAGTTTCAGTGAAACTAAAACAAATTGTACTGACATTTCTACGTTAATTCAAAACGTCAATACAAAATATTTAGTTTCAGCGAATATCACAGAGATTATCAATTTGGGTTTTTTATCAATAAGTTGCTAATCAAGCCCTAGATCACAAAAATAAAAAAAAAATCCTACGTAGGTTTTTTTTTTTTTTTTTTTTTTTTTTTTTTTTTTTTTTTTGCAACTAGGCTCATTGATAAAAAGATAAAAATTAGGTGCCAGTGGGATGACTGTTCAAAGATAATCTGCATTATGAATATTGTACATATCTTACAGATGGGGTAGACAACATGAGAACATGGAAAAACTGAACATGCAGGCTGTAGTTAATGCAACAGCTCAGGAGGATGAATTCATTAAGGATTTTCTTATCTCTTGTGGCAAAGTAAGTGTATCAAAAATCCTAAACCAATTCTGATATTCAGGCTGAAAAGATGAATGAACAATTAATAAGCATGGCCAAAAAAAATTATAAGTGTACAAGTATACAATTCAATTTTATGAAGTATAGAAAGAAAGATAAATCAAATTTTCATTTGGTCTTTTGTTTTCTTCTTAATCTTACACATTTTGTTTTGTTAGGTAGATGTTGTGGTCCATGATCTGATATTAACAGAAGTTTGGAAAGAAAAGATTTTCCCAGAGCTTGTCGACATGAACTTCAATCCAAGGACAACATTCCCCTTATATATGGTGGTATGTCTAGTGTAAAACTCTTTGTCAGTCGGGTGGAACACAATTTTTAAGTTATTTGTTGTTCGACGTTAGAAATGGACTCTGACGGATTAAGGATGATAGAAAATATATACTTTGCTTCTAGTTTTAATTGTTAAAGGTCTAAGGGACTAAGTGAAACTCATTTTCAATTAAAGAAATTTTCATTCCTCAAAAATTATAACTGAAGATTGTTTTAAATCTGTGTATTTTTTGCCTCATCAGACATACAAACCATTTTGCCGATTTTAAATTCCCACATACACAGTTACTGCTTTCATCCATGAATCCTTCCCATTTTATATTCACCCACTTGTGAAGAGGGTGAAAGCGGCGAAAATAAAACAGGTGCAAAAATTTCCCTGTATACAGTATATGCATCTTGTATTTTTTAAATTCATTCATATTAAACCTAGTATCTATTCATACAAGTCATAAAGGTTATCTTTGTTAGCAAGAAAATCTAAATTAGGCATTTTTTGTAGCTTTATCATGAAGCGACAGTTGTGAATCTTTTGGAGACCACCATGTTTTACCGCGAGACTTGTGAAGCAGCAGAGGACTGTATACCTGACTTGATTGACTACTGCTATAGAAGACTCACACAACTAGTGGCCAGGTATGTAGACTATTGCTATAGACGACTCACACAATTAGTGGCCAGGTACGTATACCTGACCTGATTGACTACTGCTATAGAAGACTTACACAACTAGTGACTAGGTATGTATACCTGACTTGATTGACTACTCCTATAGAAGACTCACACAACTAGTGGCCAGGTATGTATACCTGACCTGACTGACTACCCCTATAGAAGACTCACACAACTAGTGGCCAGGTATGTATACCTGACTTGATTGACTACTCCTATAGAAGACTCACACAACTAGTGGCCAGGTATGTATACCTGACCTGATTGAATACTGCTATAGAAGACTCACACAACTAGTGACCAGGTATGTATACCTGACTTGATTGACTACTCCTATAGATGACTCACACAACTAGTGACCAGGTATGTATACCTGACCTGATTGACTACCCCTATAGAAGACTCACACAACTAGTGACCAGGTATGTATACCTAATCTGATTGAATACTGCTATAGAAGACTCACACAACTAGTGGCCAGGTATGTATACCTGATCTGACGTATTACTGCTATAGAAGACTTACACAACTAGTGGCCAGGTATGTATACCTGACCCGATTGACTACTGCTATAGAAGACTTACACAACTAGTGGCCAGGTATGTATACCTGACCTCATTGACCACTGCTATAGAAGACTCACACAACTAGTGGCCAGGTATGTATACCTGACTTGATTGACTACTCCTATAGAAGACTCACACAACTAGTGGCCAGGTATGTATACCTGACCTGATTGACTACTGCTATAGAAGACTTACACAACTAGTGGCAAGGTATGTATACCTGACTTGATTGACTACTGCTATAGAAGACTTGCACAACTAGTGACCAGGTATGTATACCTGACCTGACTGACTACCCCTATAGAAGACTCACACAACTAGTGACCAGGTATGTATACCTGATCTGATTGACTACTCCTATAGAAGACTCACACAACTAGTGGCCAGGTATGTATACCTGACCTGATTGACTACTGCTATAGAAGACTTACACAACTAGTGGCCAGGTATGTATACCTGACCTGATTGACTATCCCTATAGAAGACTCACACAACTAGTGGCCAGGTATGTATACCTGACCTGATTGACTATCCCTATAGAAGACTTACACAACTAGTGACCAGGTATGTATACCTAATCTGATTGACTACTCCTATAGAAGACTCACACAACTAGTGGCCAGGTATGTATACCTGATCTGATGTACTACTGATATGGAAGACTTACACAACTAGTGGCCAGGTATGTATATCTGATCTGATGTACTACTCCTATAGAAGACTCACACAACTAGTGGCCAGGTATGTATACCTGATCTAATTGACTACTGCTATACAAGACTTACACAACTAGTGGCCAGGTATGTATACCTGATCTGATGTACTACTGCTATAGAAAACTCACACAATTAGTGGCCAGGTACGTATACCTGATCTGATGTACTACTGCTATAGAAGACTTACACAACTAGTGGCAAGGTATGTATACCTGACTTGATTGACTACTGCTATAGAAGACTTGCACAACTAGTGACCAGGTATGTATACCTGACCTGACTGACTACCCCTATAGAAGACTCACACAACTAGTGACCAGGTATGTATACCTAATCTGATTGAATACTCCTATAGAAGACTCACACAACTAGTGACCAGGTATGTATACCTGACCTGACTGACTACCCCTATAGAAGACTCACACAACTAGTGACCAGGTATGTATACCTGATCTGATTGACTACTCCTATAGAAGACTCACACAACTAGTGGCCAGGTATGTATACCTGACCTGATTGAATACTGCTATAGAAGACTCACACAACTAGTGGCCAGGTATGTATACCTGACCTGACTGACTACCCCTATAGAAGACTCACACAACTAGTGACCAGGTATGTATACCTAATCTGATTGAATACTCCTATAGAAGACTCACACAACTAGTGGCCAGGTATGTATACCTGACCTGATTGAATACTGCTATAGAAGACTCACACAACTAGTGACCAGGTATGTATACCTGACCTGACTGACTACCCCTATAGAAGACTCACACAACTAGTGACCAGGTATGTATACCTAATCTGATTGAATACTCCTGATGTGATACCCCTATAGAAGACTCACACAACTAGTGACCAGGTATGTATACCTAATCTGATTGAATACTCCTATAGAAGACTCACACAACTAGTGGCCAGGTATGTATACCTGACCTGACTGACTACCCCTATAGAAGACTCACACAACTAGTGACCAGGTATGTATACCCAATCTGATTGAATACTCCTATAGAAGACTCACACAACTAGTGGCCAGGTATGTATACCTGACCTGATTGAATACTGCTATAGAAGACTCACACAACTAGTGGCCAGGTATGTATACCTGACCTGACTGACTACCCCTATAGAAGACTCACACAACTAGTGACCAGGTATGTATACCTAATCTGATTGAATACTCCTATAGAAGACTCACACAACTAGTGGCCAGGTATGTATACCTGACCTGATTGAATACTGCTATAGAAGACTCACACAACTAGTGACCAGGTATGTATACCTGACCTGACTGACTACCCCTATAGAAGACTCACACAACTAGTGACCAGGTATGTATACCTAATCTGATTGAATACTCCTATAGAAGACTCACACAACTAGTGGCAAGGTATGTATACCTGACCTGACTGACTACCCCTATAGAAGACTCACACAACTAGTGACCAGGTATGTATACCTGACCTGATTGAATACTGCTATAGAAGACTCACACAACTAGTGGCCACTTATGTATATACCTGATCTGATTGACTTCTGCTATAGAAGGCTCACAAAACTAGTGGCCAGGTATGTATATATATACCTGATTTGATTGACTACTGCTATAGAAGACTTACACAACTGGTGGCCAGGTACGTATGTACCTGATCTAATTGACTACTGCTATATAAAGCTCAAATATACCTGATTTGATTGACTTCTGCTATAGGAGACTCACACAACTAGTGGCCAGGTATGTATACCTGATTTGATGAGCTAGAAGCTAAAATAACTAATGGCCATGTATTTATCCCTGATTTGATCAACTAGAAGCTAAAATACTAGTCACTAGGTACATATGTATCACTTTTTTTGTGCAGTCTAAAATCACTGTTTGTCAAGCTTCATTTACTATACAGATTGAATCAATGGACATTGATTTCATATTTCCATATATTGAATCAATTTTTGTTGAATACTGTTAAATCACATATTTTTGTTAAGTCAAATTTTTGTGGTTTGAAGAAAAATTATTCGTATGTGGGGACTTGATTTTTTGGATGAAGAATTGTTTAGTAATGTGTACCGGTATATAAAATTTTACATTTACATTTCGTGGTGGACATGAATTCATGGGTCTCTTCATACATACCTCAAAACAAGAAAAATTAAACCCCCATGAAATTAGTGATTTCACAGTAACTAATAACTAAATATAGCTTTACTTACAGACACAATTTGGTGCCCCCCCCCCCCCCAAAAAAAAAAAAATTCTAGCCTTGACCTTATTGCTGATCTTGCCTTTGCATTTTCTTACTCTGTGTTTATGTAGCCATGGGAGAGGCATTTTTGTACAACAGACCTATCTCTATTTTTGTTTTTGATGTTCTAATTCTATTTAGGTCTGAGAGTGCAGAAGAGGATGATGAGGATGAACCTAATGATCCCACACTATCAGCAGAAACTCATGGTGGTAACATGGAAGTAAGTCTTCAGAAATTCCTTGTTAATAAAGCAGTTAGTCCTCAGAAACTCTTAATAATGGTAACATGGTGTAATTCTTTAGAAACTCATTGTTAAAAACATGGTAAGTCCTCAGAAATTAACAGTGGAAACAAAGTGGTATGTCACCAGAATCATTTAGTGTTAAGTAACATGGTGTTAGTCCTCAGAAACTAATTGTTAAAAAGTGGTTAGTCCTCAGACACTCAAAATGGTAACAAGGTGGTAAGTTATCAGAAACTCCTTTTTAAGAAAGTGGTCAGTCCTCAGAAACTCACAGTTGTAATAGTGGTAAGTCCTCAGAAACTTATTAATTAAATGGTTAGTTCTAAAAACTCACAGTGGTAATATCGTTGTAAGTCCTAAGAAACTCACAGTGGTAATTAGGCAGTAGTACTTAGAAAATCATTGTTAAGAGAGTGGTTATACTTCAGAATGTCACAGTGGTTATGTGGCAGTAAGTCCTGAGCAACTCAGTGGTAAGGAAGCAGTAAGTCTTCAGAAATACAAAGTGGTTACAGAATGGTAACATGGTAGAATGACAGCAAGACTTCAAAAACTTGGTGGTAACAACTAATAATGTGACCAGTCCTTACAAATAACCTTTGTAAATGTATGCATAAAGGACTAGAGTACACAGCAGTAATGTTTCCTTTTCCACAGCTTATTACTGAAGCCAGTACAATTGTATTTAATCAGAAAATTATTTGTACAATTTGATTTTTTTTAAATAAAACTAATTGATATAACATGTATGGATTCACAGTTAACATTTGTGTTACAGGAGTTACAGAAACAGGAGAAGAAATTAAATTTTGAAATTTGTATCAAAGTGATTTCTCTTCTGCGGTACATAACAGACAGTATAGAGAGGTAAATAAACAGCTTAATTATTTATAGTAATGTGTAACTGTTCTTTTACTGCCACAGTGTAAGAAAAATGATGTCAATCTTCACCATATCAAAGACATGTATGAATCAATTGTAATAATTTATTTTTAGCTTGCCATTAAGTGTAATGACCAGGATGTTAAATACATTGGACATTCCTATTCTGTTAGTTCAACTAGCGGAATCCCCACCTTGGACAAGGAGGAAAAATGGTAATCTATTGTACAAAGTTATCGGATAAAATAATAAATTTTATTTGACAAACTCTTTGGTTGATCGGGTATGGAAAATTTATTAAATAACTTCATTTTTGAAGTTCTAAAATTCATATGCTTTTAAAACTTTAAGAATTGATTAAACGATGAAATTGATAAAAAGAATGGGTTTTTCGTTTCTCTGTAGGAAAAATTTTCAAATTCATTGACAGTAAGTGGCAGGAATTAAACTTTGAAGAGAGCATGAAAATCACAAAGATAGAAGGGCAGGTAATGTCGTCTTCCTAGAGACATCACTCAACTTATTAACAACTTTGATAATTTTTAAACAGAGCCCAAGTTTATAAAAAAAAATTCAAATTAACGTATAAAACGTTGAATTTAAAAAAAAAAAAAAAAAAGCATATGAAAAGAGACAATTGCTACAAATACAATTTTTTTACCCAGACTTGGATCTGAAATACTGAAATATTTTTTCTGCCTGTTGTAGATTTGGTTGGCCTTGTACACACTGCTAATGAATGGTAAATGTCAACAGAAGTATGACCTGAATACCCACAGGAAAAACACCATCCTCAAGGTACACTTGTAACTGAAAGGCAAAATCTGTTAAACTATTGTAAATAATATATGAACTGATTAGCCTCCAAAATGCAAAACAAATTCACAAATCCAGGGGCTCGTTTTACAGAAGAACTTACGACTAAGACTAAAAACTTTAGTTGTGCTTGTCAAATCTTGCAAAATACATAATTCTGTTTTAAAATTGTATGCATAAATTTATCCTCCAGAAATTTGTTTAAAAAGATAATAAAGATTTCAAAATTAATTTAAAACTGAGATTTATTTGCAAAATTACATTTTGGTCTTAGTCGTAAGTTCTTTAGTAAAACGGGGCCCAGTTCTCCTTCCTTTATATGTGTTTATATCAGAAATCTTAAGTGTACATGACTGATGCTTGTCGCATTTTTATTCAGTACCCGCAATGTTATTCTTGAGATGATAGAATAAGAATACATTCACTTCATAAAATTAAACCCATCCTTGCTAGCCAAGGATGACAATGCTTTCCTCTCCTGAAAAGAGAAGAAGACCTGTGTGAGAGGTCCTTCACAACAACAATAAAAAATGAAAGACATATCTTGGATAACTGATAAATGTAATAAATACTGATCAAGGATAGGATAAATTTTATGGAAAAAATTATAGAATACACACACAATAGGATAGGGTTCACACAAGATAAGACACAATAGGATAGGGTTCACATAAGATAGGACATGTTAGGTTAGGGTTCACACACAAGATAGAACATGATAGGATAGGGTTCACACACAAGATAGGACATGTTAGGGTTCACACAAGATAGGACATGATAGGATAGGGTTAACACAAAATAAGGCATGTTAGGATAGGGCTCACACAAGATAGGAAATGTTAGGATAGGGTTCACACAAGATAGGTCATGTTAGGATAGGGTTCACACAAGATAGGACATGATAGGATAGGGTTCACACACAAGATAGAACATGTTAGGATAGGGTTCACACAAGATAGGACATGTTAGGGTTCACACAAGATAGGACATGATAGGATAGGGTTAACACAAAATAGGGCATGTTAGGATAGGGCTCACACAAGATAGGAAATGTTAGGATAGGGTTCACACAAGATAGGACATGATAGGATAGGGTTCACACACAAGATAGAACATGTTAGGATAGGGTTCACACACAAGATAGGATATGTTAGGATAGGGTTCACACACAAGATAGGACATGATAGGATAGGGTTCACACAAGATAGGACATGTTAGGATAGGGTTCACACAAGATAGGACATGATAGGATAGGGTTCACACAAGATAGGACACAATAGGATAGGATGGTTAAGAAAGTTGAGGTCTCATTTGATGAGGGTATATTTTATGTTAAAAGTTGAGGTCCCATTTGACTGAGGTTATATTTTATGTTAAAAGTTGAGATTCCATTTGACTGAGGTTATAAATTATGTTAAAAGTTAAGGTCCCATTTGACTGAGGTGATGCTGGACCAGCTTCCAATCTTGGTTGAGATGCAGAGGTATCTGGAGCACCTGTCCATGATGGAACCTCCTGCCCCTGCTAGAGAACTTATCCTGGAACAGGTATCGTTATGCTTAATACATCATATGGGTCAGTTCCTAGTGACTAAATGAATTTTGTTATGGAAAAACAGACATTATGTTTATCTGCATACATATGCTTCGTCTGACTTTATCTAGAAAGCAGATTTAAATTGTCTTCAATGTGTATTTTCTTTATTATATGCATTTAAATTGACTGCATTTTATCACAGGTGCCAGAGATCAAAGAGAAAATATTGAATGACAATAAAGGAAAATGGAAGAAGATTGCTAAGAAACAGTCCCAGACTTTCTTTAACCCTTCAGACAGTGATGTCAGGGCCCAGGCCAAAAGGTAACTATCTGGTAAAGTAAAGCAATTCCAAGGCTCAGATAATAGGACATCAGTATATACAACAATACAAACTCAAGCAGTGATGTCAAAGTTCCAGCCAAAAAATGTTAATTTAAGTAGAAAACAAGTCAAAACTATGTAGGTACCTATCTGAAAATAACACCTTAGATTTTGATGTTAAAGTTTAGGTCCTAAGTACCTTTCAACATAATCAATATCTGTAAATGTTGGGGCTTAGTTCACAAGTATCTATCTACAACAATAATTTAACACATAACAGTGATGTCTGGATGTCAGTGATTTCAGCAATAATATAGGTCACAATAACACTTAAAACTGTGATGTGAGGACTTAGGTCATGAGTACTTATCTACAAATTAACACACAAAACAGTTTTGTAGAGACAAAGGTAAAAGAATTACAGAGATTAAAACTTTTGATTTATGCCATATGACCAAAAGGTCAAGAGCTTATTAATGAGCTATTTTGGAAGTGATGCTCATTCCCTAATGAGAAGTATGAGCAGGTACCCTTCATGTGATATTAACGAGGCCTAGTCTAATTCGAGTGCGATGACTTTGCGCAGCTTTTATAATTTCACGCAGTCATATTTGCGACATTACACATTTCCCAAACATTGTGATTTTAATACAAAATTAACATTATCTGTAACACCTATGTGTCTGAAATTGTGCTTTTACAACGATAATTAGGAAAAAATGCTGAAATGGCTCTAACGACGTAACTGTTTTCCGATTTTGTAAGCATCGATGACGCTGAAGAATGACACATGACTCACTTGCATATTCAAGACGTCCATGGATATTTTACTAAAAACTGTTGACAAAACATCAAAAGAAACATACTAGCAATCTAAACATTGCTATTTTTTACCAAAATAATTCATCTGCGCCGATAATTCATCTGCACTGATATAATTATACATATACCGCAATATGGCAATTTTAGAGGGGCATTGAAAAAATAAACTTTGTAATAATTCCTACGCCAACCTAGATTGTCAACTTTTTTGAAATTTCTCACCTTGGTGACGTTTTACAATAACTTTCATGTACTTGGCTCAAAAAGAAATCTCTAGGGCAGAAATACAAAAAATATGGAAAAATGTGATAATTTGGTGCTTTTCCAACAAATTCCCATAGGGTCCAATAGTAAAATTTGACAACTTTTGAGATGGCCCCCTAAGAAATCCAGATGGTAAACATTCGATTTTTTTAATCTTATTAAAATAAAACAATAAATATAATACTAAAAATTAATTTAAGAAAATTTATCAAAATCTCTAGGGTAGAAATAATTAGACTGGGCCTCGTTAAGACTCCCCAAAACCAAAAAATAAATTTATTGAAAGATGTTGACGTTACCATGCACTCTTATAAGATCGATAAATTTTTAAAAATAACCTTAAATGCATGATAAAGGTTAAGTTTAATATACTATTTGCAAATTTGGTGAGTTCATTCATAATATCGGATTAATTAAGTTTGCTTCTTGATACCTTGCATAAGTCCTTTATACTTGAGACTGTATTTAAAGATGTGAGTGATGTCTATTCCATTGTATATCAAACATCTGTCTTTCACCTGTAGATGGGCAGACACATATAACTTTGATGTGTTGGAGGGATTACTGACAGACCCTCCCAAATGTGCTGTATGTGGAGCTGATGCCACCAAAAGATGTTCACGCTGTCAGAACGAATGGTACTGCAGGAGGTAAGCCATTATATGTGAAAATTTTATTATATAGTTTTGTACAAAATCTGTTTTTGTCTTTTGAACATTTTCATCCTTTTCAGTTTTCCTGATGTATAGAATATATTTTTTTAGATACATTTGATTATTTGAATCTGCAGGCATTTGGCTTATTGGCAATATGAAAGGAAGTGGTTTCTTCATTAAAACTGAACTTTCATATTTCAGGGAGTGTCAAGTTTCTCATTGGAAAAAGCACAAGAAAGCTTGTGATCTGATTGTAGAAGCTAATGATTCAGTGAAGGCCAATGGATAATAGGACTATGAGGCCAAACTTCATAAACAAGGGGGATAACTCATTCTGTGAAGGCAACTTAATGTTTCCGTCATGTTACTTTCAGATTGACAATCAAGCATCTTGCATTGATTTAAAAGCATTTCAGAGAAGCCTATGACTACATGTACCTCTGTGTACCTCTCCATTTTGTAAACATTTATTTGATTATTTTATGTGGATATTTTAAATTTCATTCATTAAAGATTTATTTATAAATCCCAAATGAGAGACATATCATAAGAGACCTGATGTTTGTTTTTTTTAATGCTTACAGAGTAAAGTTGATTGTGAAATGTTATTTGATATGTATTAATTTATTGAAAATAAAATTAGTGAATCCATACCTGTAAACTGATAAACCTACATGTTATAATTGGAAAAGTTCATTCATTGAAACCATTCAAAGAATGAAATTCTATCCATCTTTCAGTTGAAAGGATTTTTTTTTATTTTTTATTTTTAATGTAAAAGTAGGTTTTTAATCCAATTTTCTAATTCAGAGTTAGTTAAATTTATATGCAGTACTGATGATATTCATGTATTGTAGACTTAAGTACCTGACATTGCATATCCTCCTTTTTTTATTTTTATTTTTTTCATTATTATTTTGTTAGAGGGGTGAGGTTCTTTTAATACCCCAAGTTGCATGATAAATTTTCTTCTTTTTTTTTTCTTTTTTTTTCTTTTTTTCTTTCTTTTTTTTCTTTTCTTTTTTTTTTCTTTTACAAAGAACTCTATACGGTAAAAGCATATTTTTGTCCTGGTAATAGCAAAATTTTGAAAATCTATTGAAATGTACACAATTGTATATATTGTATGAAAAATCTTAATTGGCAAAAAATGTTAAAGTTTGGAATTAAATTACTGTTAAATCACTTATTTTCATGGAGTCAAATTTTCATGGTTTGAGGACAAATTATTGGTTCGAGGGGAATTAATTTTGTGGTTACAGGAGAAACATAATACTGCAGGATGAAAATTTTATATTTCATGGGGACATAAATTTGTGGGTCTCTTCAAACTATGAAAACAATGAAAATTAACACCCACGAAAATTGGTGATTTCACAGCATCGTTAAATCTTGTTTCTGTAACATCACAAACTATTTAGATTTTCTGATATTTTTAAGGAAAAGGACAAAATGGACAAAATTTGTTCAATTGTAAATATAGAATTTACAAAGTGCAGCTTGCCCCAGAACAATATTCACATATTTTATTGATATTATTCTACACCTTATACTACAAGACTTTTAATCAAAACATCGACGTAAGGCCATCATTAAAAATATCTTTGTTTCCCCTAACCCGACCCTAAATTCTGAAGTTGGGTAGGTAGGTAGGTAAATAATTTTTTTTCCTGACAGCAGCTTTGAAAATACATTCTGATTTTCTGGTAAGAACGGGTTTTGCTGAAATTGTATTTTATAAAAGTTGATAAACTTAAAAAAAAATATTTGAATAATCTTCTTTAAAAAACTTTTCAGTCGGCCGGATTTAATTGGGTCGGTCGCGTTAGGGGAAACAAAGTTATTTTTTATTTTGGCCTAAAATGCACTTTTTTCTCTCAAAATCATTGACATTTTGAATTTACATCAACTTCTTGACGTCATATCTATCAAATGGTGTCATGGCTGATGAAAATAAGCAATGCTTTCAAGCCTGGGGATACCCCCCTGGTTTAGAACATAATGATAGATTTCTCCATCAAAGTTTGATTTCGGGGGAAGATACTTGTCATTATTGAATATAGTCCTTTGAAAACTTGACCTAACAAATATCATAAAATCCATGCCAATGAGGTATGAAGTAAAACTATTCATAAGCAAACTGGGTCCTTACTTCTGGATGGGTTTGTGAAGCAAGTATACATCATTTAGTAATTACCAGGCCCGTAGAACGCAGGGCGGCCACCCCCCCCCCCTTTCCATTTTTTCTGAGTAAAGTCTTTTGTTGTAGTAAATTTTGATTTAGATGCTAGTACCCCCACCCCCCCCCCCCCCCACACACACACTTTCTGTTGCTGTAAGGTCGAGCACTGGGAAATTCCAGCATTTAAAAAAAATTGTTCCAAATAATTAAGAGAAAGCCCCCCCCCCCCCCACACACACACACACAGGAGTTAGGATTTTCGAGTTTGGACACTTTATGACATGATTTCCAGAACTCTTTTTCAACAAAAGAAAAAAAGTGTCAGTCTCTAAGAAAAAAAATGATACTCAGAATTTTCATTATTTGGGTTCAATTCTCAAAAATCCTTAAATCTTTTTTTCCAATTTCATACCTTTGAATAATATTAATAAGATTTTGTTCTAAATACTTAGTTCACAATTTGAATTTGATTATACGTTTGAAGCCATAGGCATTTACCACACTTTGTTCTCCCATCTTCTTCTTTTTTGTACCAGAGTAAATGGTGAAGAAGAAAAATAATTATTCCATAAATCACATTAATAAACATTATGTATCAAATTAAGAATAAAATGTTAAGTTAAGAACGTAGCACAATCTCGGTCCCCAATTAAATTTATTGCATATCTAATCATGTTCTAAACTGCGAAAAAAATGTAAAAAGAGTCCTGGAAATCATGTTATTGTTAAACAACAACAACCAGAAAGAAAAAAAATCCACTTGCCTAAAGGGTGAATATGAAAATTCTCAAACCTTATATTGTTCATCTACAGATTATCACCAATGATATAATGATTTTCCTAATTAAAGATGATTTGGCTACTGCGTAACTGTAAGAGGATAAATCAGGGAACATGCAGTTTATCTAAAAAAAAAAATAAATAAATCGTTATTTGACACCCACTTAATTGGCCCTCACAGTGAAAATGAAAATTCTGAAGTCGTATTGCACATCTACAGGGCACTGCCCATCATATTCGAGATGATGAATTTGGTTGACAGTTTAAAATGTAAAAATGTAAGAGGATCGAGTTTTTTTTTGTTGCAAAAATCCATAACCCCCCCCCCCCCACCCGCCCTTTCCACTGGTTTAACTTATGCAATCTCTCAATTTAACCTGCACTTAATATTCTGTATCATTGTTATACACCCCCCCCCCCCCGCCCCGCCCGCTTGAAAAGCGGGGAGGGGGTTTATAGTGATGGGAATGTCCGTCCGTCTGTCTAGCTATGCGTCCGTCCTTCCGTACCTTACGCTTTAGGGTACCCATCTCTTATCCGCAACACCTTCACAACTCCTCTTATACCAATCCATAAAAGAACTACGCACGGTAACTCCCGATTCCCGCCTACATTTTACAACCATTTAATTTAATATTGACGACAATTTGGCCATAAAATCTTTGTTTAATACAAAGAACAGTTCAACGGTAATTGATTAATTATTTTAATTCCAGTGCTAAATAGTAAAATATCCCTAATTCCAGCTCTTGAAATAAGGGGGGTAGACGATATTTTCCACTGAAATCGGGCTGTAAAACATCACCATATTCTGAAATAGTCTTAGATATGAATAAATGTTTCTTAAATCTTTTCTTATGTTTTATGCATATAAAATTAAGCATATATATTAGTAAAATATAATGTTTCAGTTGTAAAGCACTTGGAAATTACTGAAAAAATAAGCATTTTTGTCGTTTTTTGTATATAAACATATGTCCCCCCCCCCCCCCCCGTGAAACACAAAAAGCTTTGGTATGAATTTGTGAAATGACAGTCCATATTACCCGTAAAAAGGAATTTTTGTTTCACGGGGGGGGGGGGAGATGTTTTAAAAATATTTTCCGTTTTCCGTTGATTTCTAAAGTGAAAAACACGAGTTTTACCAAAATTTTAGAGTTATCTCTCGTTGTTTTCCCAAAGAAGTAATGTTTTAAGAAAATCCATATAAATATCAATATAAATATTAAAAATCATTCGAATATCTTAACTTTTGAAAATTGACTTGGAGGTAGGCGGGAGAACAATACTATCGTTCGCAGTTCTTTAGTTACATAGTGCCATTGTGCACCTCCTATTTTAACTTTTGCTTGGACATATATTTCGGGTTTCCCATAGCAAAACATAGACACTGCCATTCTTTCTATAAAACTGGAGGTACCCATATCTTATTCGCAACTCCTCCTTTGCCACTCAATATGAATATAATGATACTTTCATAGAATTTTTATTACATAGTGCCATTGTCCACCTCCTATATTACTTTATTTCGGGTTTCAGATTGCAAAACATGGACACTGCCATTCTTTTTTAAAATCGGGGGTACCCATCCCTTATCCGCAACTCCTCCTATACCACTGAATAAAATTTAATGAGACTTTCACAGAATTTTTATTACACAGTGCCATTGTGACCTCCTATTTTAATTTTGATTGGACATGTATTTCAGATTTCCCATAGGAAAACATGGGTACTGCCATTCTTTCTATAATGTCAGGGGTACCCATTTTTTATCCGCAACTCCTCCTTTACCTCTCAATAAAATTCAATAATACTTTCATAGAATCTTTATAACATAGTGCCATTGTCAGGGTTCGAAATTCACTATATACAACTCGCAAAACGCGAGTTAGAATTCCCAAATTGCGAGTTAAAAATTAGGTAACTCGCAAAAACTTGCGAGTTGATATTTTTTGCATTGAAACTGTAGCAAAATTATATAATATGACAGAGCACAATGCTTTTGATTTAAATCAGTAATTTAAATAAAAGTCACCCTTTAGTTTTATTTTGTGTATTGTACAGTAGTTACTTTTTCCTTAAGTTACATGTATTTAATTTATATAAATTTAACTTTGTATGAAAATTGCGAGTAGTCTTATAAAATTGCGAGTTCACTTTCTTGGTACTCGCAATTATTTGCGAGTTGTAATTTTAGGGAGTTTCTAACCCTGAAATTGTGCATTTCCTACTTTATGGTTTGTTCGGACCGATATTTGGGCTTTTCCAATGCAAAAAAATGGACTTTGCCATTATAACATCATGGGAGCGAGGGGGGGGGGGTGTTCATTTGTGAGCTCAGTGCTCACAGAACCTCTAGTTCTTTTTTTTTTGGTCAAAAAAAAAAAATCCTTAAACTGCCCCCCCCCCCCCCCTCTTTCTGAAATTTCTGAATCCGTCACTTTTGAGGATGAGGGTTGGGTAGAAAAACGTAATTTTGGTTCCCAGGGTTAAAATAAAAATCCTTTAAAACAAAAAACAAAAAACAAAAAACCTCATTGCACATCTACAGGATACCAACTATCACTATCATATCAGAAAGATAAATTAACTAATGCTTAAAATACAAAAGGAGTTTGAGGAAGGAAT